GCTCATTGGGGGGGGGGGGTAAATATACAACATTAGCCCGTCAGCAAAAAATTAAAAGACAATATTAGCTCGAGAAGTAATAAACTTACAGCATGTTGTGGCAGAATTCTCCCTTTGGAAGAGTAAATTTCTTGATGTTGTCAGCTGATGCAGAAGTAAAGGCATTCCTTTAAAAGAACACATACCAAGAGATGCATTAGAAAAAAAGGTGCATCATATTACAAAACTCTTTGTGACTGAAAGAGCAAACTGACCATCACATACTCTTTAGGATGGAGGGCCATTGCTCGGACTGACTTCTTATGATGTGTTAGAGTCGTCATAGTACGTCCTGCACATATTAATCACAGTATATTTTGTAAACAATCGTGCACTAGCGGTGGATGTTCACCCAATGTTCAGGGATAGAGAAAATGGAATGAGAGTCCAAATGATTGTTACAATGTTAAATTTTACCGTATCGGAGGTCCCAAAATTTGATGGTTGAGTCATGGGATCCAGTAACAACTTGTGGGTCCTGCAACATCATAACATCACTTTGAGTTCAAGATCTAAGCTTTGATTATATTGACAGAATGTCAGGAGAAACAACAATGAGCATAAAATAGGTGTATATCCTTTTGCCACAGGACCAATACCAATGCATAATGACCATTCTACGAAAAAAAATTAAACCAAAGTGAACATGTAAAGAAGTGCCTTACTGTTGGACGGGTGAATACGGAACAAACAGTGTTGTCATGCCCTGAAAGTGCAAAAATTTGCATCTTAGTACGGATATCCCACACCTGCAACGTACGACATATGGATTTGTTACAACAGATCCAGCAAAGCTCAAACATAACTGTGAGGCGAGTGTCTAAAGAAAAACATGCTGAGAAACACGGTAAATATTTTAAGTCCCGTACCCTGCAGACGGAGTCTCGTCCTCCAGTTAGTAAAATGTCCAGAGTTGGGTGAAGAGCCAAGCAGTAAACACCGCTCAAATGACCATGATAAGACCGAATAACCTATCAAAATCGAATTCCAAATAATTGGCATGACAAGAAACACTTATCAGGATGATAGCAAATCCATTACAAATGGAGTGAATCGGTCTTCAAGATTTAACCTTATTCTGCTCAAGATCCCAGCATTTAACTTGCTTGTCATCACCAGCTGAGAACATATAAGTGTGCCTGGGACTAACAGCAAGGCCTGCAAACATATAATCAGAATTCACCAAGCCAGATTCACAAATATTTCATGATAGAGTTATCGAGAAATAACAAACAGATTGGAGGCCAACCTCGTATTTGCTCGATATGTCCGGTAAGCGTGAGCTTCAGAACTCCAGTTGCCAGATCCCATATCTAGCAAACAGGTATTATCATGTAAGCAATTCAGTAAAGATAAAATCTTCAGAGTACCACAGTCAGCAGCAGAACCACTTCTAGAAATATTGAAAGGGTACACTTAAAAATTCCAGATTAACCACACAAAACATGGCAAGTCCTACCACATCATGATGTATATATTATGATTACCTAATATAACTTGAAAAAAGAACTAACAAAAAGGAATTCATATTGTAGAAGTAAACTCAGATTATACAAAAAAAAATCACAGAAGCAATTTGCATAAATGGAACTCATTTATTACCTTGATGGTACGATCAGCTGAGCCAGTACAAAACCATTCATTACTTGGGTCAAATGCAATTGATCTGACCCATCCCAAATGTCCTTGAATGACCTGTAAAACAACTTAATGGAATGTCAAACTGCAGCTCAAACAAAAAGCAAGTCTCTGGAGGTCAGTCAAAGATCTAATAAAACATACATGCTTAATTTATCTATACCAAGGTAATGCTGCAATGACATTTTGCCATAATCTTACCCTATAATTCTTCCATGGCGCATGCCACACAGGGCGGGGCCATTTACTTGGTATTCTTTCCATTAAAGCAGCAGTTGACAGATTTCTGTAACACAGGGGGTAAAATTTAATTTTAAAAAATAAATGATAAGCAACTGATGCATGGAAATAACCTAAAGGCTTTTAGGTTAGAAACATATGGCAAGTCTAAGTTCCATGATACAGAAACCAGAATGAAGAGAAAGGGAAAAGATGGGACAAAAAACCTTTCAGATGAAAATCCAGTTGCAGAAAGAATGGCGGTGCTTCTGCTACTAGAGGGACCGACATCATTCCTTAAATCCGAGGATTAAGAATAATTTGTTAGAATCACGTCACAAAACATATATCTCGAGGGAAAACAGTAACAGAAACATTCCTGCCAACGGAATAGATCGCTTTGCTTTACATAAACCAGTCATCATTTCGAGAAACAAGTCACCATTTGGATAAATGAAACCGAAAAGAAAAACTGTACTTACGGGCCTCTTGGCTGTAAAGTTGGACCAACAACTAAAGCATTCTCTGTTGCACCTTTCCGGAGATCCTTCGACCCTTCTGGACCTGCAGAATTCATCAAGCGAGTGATTTTGACAATATATAACAAGATGCAGTGACACTCAAAAAATTTCTTATCTTAAAATAATAAATTTAACAAAAAGTACCTGGAAGAGCAAGGGCATTCGATGGAGCTATCTGTTGATTGTTGCGGTCAGGTCGGCGGGGAGCCTGACTTGTAGGTTCTACGCCTCCATATACAATACTCACCTATATCCGGGATTTTTAAGTCAATAAACAAATCTCATATTATGCTAATCGAAAAACCCACACAGTTGATGCAAATTCAACATCTCTTCGTTCAAGCAATATGGGAAAAGGAGTATCCTATTGGTTCATTATAGCTGATAGTTCTATGTAGCCTTTGTATAATCAATCCGCTGAGTCCAGAAACATTAACTGAAGAAGGAGACACGTTGAAAGTTCCAAACTTAACCTGGATTATGTTGAAAGTTCATAAACCTTGTTTATGAAACTAGGTTTATGAAATTCTGACTAGGTTTATGAAATTCAGTTGGTTCTGTTCTTCCCGGTTACTGTAACTTGGCTTTATTCTTTCAGTTACTACTGACTAGGTTTATAAAATTCAGAAACTTTCTACCCAGAATTTCATAAACCTAGTCAGTAGTAACTGAAAGAATAAAGCCAAGTTACAGTAACCGGGAAGAACAGAACCAATTTAAACAACAACTAGATCCACTTTACCTTATGACTGAGACGAATCTTCTTGCTGCAAAGGAAAAGGAGACACTCGTCGAGTCACACACCGTCATAGCGAGCTCGAAACACAGAAGATCGGAAACCGAAGAAGGGAAATCTGATTGTACTAACTAACCTCTCCGGGTCCGGTGGAGCGAAATGGCCATGGACGGGGGAGAAAAGATCAAGAGCTCGTTTCAGGGATTTGAGACTGAGCTTCTTCAGCGATTGTGGTTCAACAGGCTCCACATCCGACGTCGGACCCGGCATCGTCTTCTTCCTTTCGACGCTCTGGGAAATTAGGGTTTAACGAGGGAACATACATTTGACTGAGCTCCGATTGTAGATCCGACCCGAATGACAGAAATCGGACCCTCTACTGCACCCGCCCCTTTTTCTAAGAAGCCTTCTTTTATGTGCTTAAGATAATTAAATTAAAATAAATTAATTTCATTCCTTTGGTTGGTAGAATGTCAGAAGAACCAGATTGAATTTAGCGAAATAATATGTAATCATAATTACCAGATTGAATTTAGCCAAATAATATGCAATCATAATTAAATTGAATTGGATATAAAAATTGAATAGTTATAATATTTCTAATACCGAATTAAAATCTAATCAAAAAACAAAAATTTCTTACAAATGAATATTTTTAAAAATAGGAACCGAATTCAAATTAATTTTGATACAACAATCAAATGATTATCATTTTTTAAAATCAAAATAACCGAAAATCAAAAGGAAATTGGAAAAGATCACCCTACTCACAATAATAACATCCAATATATTTTATTTCCTAATCATGTTATTACAATTTGTTAAGAAGTAATATAATTTTTAATTAGATTACAAAGCTAGATGCCTCCGTTTATGCGCCAATGGCCTACCTACCTTAACAAATCAGCATATAGTCATAAAACATCACAACAATAACCTCGTATTCTTACAAAATGGCTCAGTTCTCATCGTCCGAGTTGAAACTCTGTCTTCTCCTCAGAGACTCCAACACTTCCTTAGCCGGCCGGCCGCTCTGGCCGTCTCCACGGCTCGACGACTTCAGCTTCGGAACACTCATCGCGCTCAGCAGTGGCGTCCCTACCCCTCCGTTAACATCCCTCAGCACCGACTTAGCTGTCCTGACCGCCGCCGCATCTGCCGCTGTTCTCGGACCCAACCCCGAACCCCTATTTTTTCTGTTACTTGTCCCGCAAGCAACGGGCTGCGTCTCTTCCCTGGAGGCGACGGGCCTTGCGGCCTCGTACTTCTGCATGTCGTAGACGAGTTCTTTGCGGAGCTGTTTGTCGGCGATGAGCATTTCGTCGATCTCGTTCTTGAAGTCTTTTAAAAGGACTCGGAGGCAGTCCATGAGGGAGCCGGTGAGGGAGCTGTTCTTGCTCTCGAGAAGCCGTTTCAGCTCTATGAAAATGGGGATAGTGTTCTGGATAAGGCCCTTTCTCACAGCCTGCGTTATGGCTCTTCCCTTTGCTGCTTCTCCACTTCCGCCGCCGCCGCCACTGTCTTCTTCTATCTCTGCTGTCTCGGAGGATGATCCTCTTGTGGGAGATAACCTCATCTCTTTGCACGCCAGTATCTGAAACGCGTCCTGCAATGTTCAACGCTAAATGTTCAGGAGACAACTACAGATACCAATTCAATTTAAAAGTGGGGTTGAAGTGGAACAGATACAATTTACTTGAGCTGAAAACATTTCCTGTTAGGGCTGGGTGCGGGTATTTGAGAATCCCGGATTCCGGTACCCGGTCTCACGTGTACACCCGCCCACCAACGATGCTGAAGGCAGGTGCAACAACACAAGGACTCGGACCGTGGGTTCGGGTTTGAGTTTTTTCGAACCACGATGGATTCCCGCAAGTACCACTAAGAGTCAACGTAAATAACCGAAATTTCCAAAATTTTTACGAATTTGGCTACCTGACCAGTGCCTACCCCTATTTTCTGTGTCTCTTCTTTTGTGCAGCGTTGAAGGGATTAACAAAAGACAACTACAGGTAAAACGGACAAGTCGATAAGTTAAGCAAGAGGTAAAACTTAAAACTACCTGAAGAACGGCCTGGCCAGTGACATCTTCTATGTTGAGCATCCCGTCTGATGCAGCTGCAAGGACCTCTGCACACAGCTTTGCAAATGTGGCCAAGAGGTGTTCTGGTGCCATTTGTTTCAGCAGCGTAGTGTAGATTTGCATTCTTTTCGACCTCGCCTTTTCATCATTCCCCCTGAAAACGAACGAACAACTTATCGAGTATTATCACTGAATCCAGAACACTTGATTCACATGTATATGTACAACACAGTTACCTGATACAAAACACTTGATTCTTCGTTTTTGACCCTTTAGAATCTGAATTATTATTGTTATTGTTATGCCTGTTGTGGGGATGGCAGTCGTTTAAGACATAGATAGCTTCCACGAAACTGTTGTAAGCTAGGAGCGGTGCTTTGGCTAAAAACACAATAGACAGAACATTAAAAAAACACCCAAAATTATGATTAATGACAAAAATAAAAGACATCCTTCATTCCTGGTTTCATGTAAGTGTTGGTACCTTTAAGGATGTTTCCGAATAAAAAGTCTGCAAGTTGACGTATCTTCTCAGATTCATCAACAAGTGATAGAAGGAAACGGAGGAAGAGAACCCCTCTCCACTTTACGTAATCTCTCTGCATCAAGAAACCAGCCCTTGCTTGTTTATTACCTTCGAGCTTTCTTGTTAAAGAATGGGAGACAAAGAATCATCGGAAAAATCGCATTACCTGAAGTAACCTTGAAAGAAGTACGAAGGTCTGCCTCCTAACAAGTTCACATGGATCCCGAAGGCATTGGGCAATCTTTGGTATGTAACTGTAAACGTAAACAACAAATATGAGTCTATGACATGTTCCTTATTTGAAAGATTTGATGAAATTTCGGTGTTATATAGATCATTACCACTCGATCATAGATGTGTAGTGGACGCAAAAGTCAGCCATCGCAACTACGAGATTGTTGCGGAGGGCTGCACATTCACTTTTTTCAAGCTCCTGCAACAACAAAGAATCTATTATCTTCCGGGAAAAAATTACAAGAACCAACAGAGGAAAAGGTGACAACGTTGTATGACAAAGTTCTGTTCACATGTCAATGGAAGAATCATCCCGAAATTGAATATATCTTTCCTGGATATCATTCTGAATGACAAAGAACAGAGGCAAGGCTGGTTGATGTAACCTGTGCAAAAAGAGGGATATATCTCTTAGCCAGCTTCCCATCTGCCAGACAAATCTTCGCCATGGTTAACCAAGCCTGACAATACAACGGAGCTTTTTGCTTCAAGCAAGTATTAGCTTGTGGTAATTTGTTATTCAGCTTCGGATCAGAATTTCCCGAAGTGATAACAGTATGTAACAATGGAACGATCCCGGTTGTGTCAGCCAAGGGACATATGATTATACAAGAACCGACGGTATATACTGCTATGACTGCTTTTGATAATTTCTGTGACTCAGAATCCAGTCTCTTGCTTCTTCTACTTCCATGTGTTGCTGGTGTAGAGAAAGAGTTTTTCTTACTTTTTGAGGCCTCTGAAATGTATTTTTCAATAACCTTTGATGCTTTAGACAAAACTTGTTCCACCCACGTCTTTACAAGTGTATCAGATTCCTCGAAGTTGTGTGCCTTCTTTTTGCACAATGTTCTTAGGGCTTTCACATGAGCATCTACCTGCCATTGAAGAGTACTGACTGAGTTCATTGAAAGTACCCAACATTTCAAAATTGGTATCTATAAATCATCCTTTTTCTCGGGACCAGTGAATTCTGATATGGTTCATGCGGGGTAACTGTCAGTTGCACAGGATAGGAAATCTGATACTGACAAGATATATCCATCTCAAGAAAGACATGGTTTTAAACACAAACCAGAAACTTGATGTTGAATAGGATTCAACATGGAGTGGAGACATTTTCATTCCACTTGACCAATTGTCAATGTCCCAAGTGTAGTCCTACCGTCCTTACATCGTACTGCAAGAGGTGATCAGATAAAACATTTACCTCTGCAGAATGCAGATTGAAGTCTTCGATTTTCTTCAGCAAATTGTCAGCAAGATCTGCTGCAGGTTCAGGTGGCAGCTCAAGGGAAACATTAGAGATTGTTTGCAAGAGAAAAACTCGATCTCCAGCCCATGTAACAGAATTAGACTCCACAGACTGTTCATCATCTTGTCCATCTGATCCTTCTCATATAGCCACATAAGACATATTAAAAAGATATGAATCAAGAGGATAATGTAGCACTGAAACCAAAATACGGCACTACAATAGAGACAAAATATAAATTAAGAAGCCAGTTTAATCGGTACTAACAAGCAATTAACAAACTGATTTCTGAGCTAACCTTGCAACTCATTCTTGTCAAGCAACTGCCAATGGTGGTGAAGAAATTCCCATTCAACGGATTTTGGAAGATAAACTGAAACCTCTGATAGAAGAAACCAAGCACCAGCTGGAGCTGTCCATTTGTCTATTGGCATAGAATGCCTTAACCAGAATGATTCAGATTCCTTTATTATACACTGCAGTGCAAGGGCAATTCTTGGTTTTAGTCGCTTCTTCTTCCCCAAGTTTACACAGATTTTCTTCACCCAAGGAGAAACCTCACTGTTACAAAGCCCCTTCAAGATAGCCAGAATCCATTCAGGAAACATGGCTTCAGTATCGCCCTCCAGATCTTCTGGTTTAGAGTTTGAGTTTTTTGAGAGCGAAATCTTGTCCAGTGAAAGAGCATTTCCTGCCTGAGATATTCTCTCCAGAACAAGTTCAAGAAACACGTTCTCGCATTCTTCCTGGATGCTAGATTCGTTGTCTGTGACCATCCGAGGAACAGAATGCAACCATTCAACGGTCACAATTTCATCTGTACATATTCGAAAAGCCTACAAACCAATGTAGAGATGAGCTCGAATAAAATAGCTGAAGGCAATGGATCAACAATGACAGAGAAAACAGGGAGCATAAGATAAAATGACAGAGAAGAAACCATTTGTTTTTATTTCCAGGGATAAGTTATATGGTAATTTACGATCATCAAAATGTGGAAGCAAGAACTCTTCTTCCATTCAACAAGAACTTTTTAACTAGCAAATTATGTATCCTTAAACTTTGAACTCTAGAAACGCAAAGGACATCACTCTAGGCAAAGTATAACATGTAAAGAAAAAGAAAGAAGATGATTTGCAGAGGACAAACCTCGGAAAGAGCTGAAATGGCAGCTTTTCTTATACTAATTAATGGATCTGAACAAGCCATACCCATTGTCTTTACCACATTAACATCAAAGCGACCACCCGAAAGGGATGTCAACTTAGTCGCAAGAAGAAGAGCAGATCTCCTCACAGCTGCCTTCTCATCCACACATCGTTTCAGCAAAAGGTCATTCATTTTCATTTTTTCAGCAGAAATCTCACCATTAAACCCAAGGGCTTGTCTCAAAACAGACCTGTTCCTCTCATCATTGGATAAGAACCCCACAACTTGAGCCACATTGGACAATGCTCGAGCTCTAGTTAAAGAGTTAGAATCTGAACAACGTTGTAATAAGGCATCAAGACAACCCAAACCCCATGAATCTTTCGAGCCACCACTGTCCGAACCCATTCCTAAAGGATTTCTTAGTGAGCTTATCAATAGCGGTATAAGATCAACAGCTAACAGTCTCAAGTTAGGTTTACCTTGAGCCATCTTCATAACATAATCCACAAAGTCTAGTTGATCCTCGAACTCCATTGTCTTTACTATCTCCATTATCACCTCCACGGCCAATCCACGGGGCTCGGCCTTCTCAGGTGCCTTATGAGCCAAATACTTGAGGAAATTAGCAACTGCCTTTTTCACTTCACTGCTATACCTAGCCAAACCGATCATTTTCCGCGACACAAACCCTAGTGCGAAGTTTCTTGCTTGGTGCTTTCCCGTGAGAAGTAATGGTGTGAGTGACTTGAAAATCTCAGCTGCGATGAGTGCCATGTCTCCATGATCAGCCTTCATCACTTCACCCAGAATTCTCTCGCACAAATTTGTCAATCCAACCAAATTCACAGACCCTGACAATTCAAGCGCCATTACAGGAATCTCACTCACTGTCTGTACCAAAGATTTTAAAATATCGGGAAACCTATCCAAATGAACAAGACTCAGAACCGAACCCAACTCTTCAAGCACTCCAAATAGCAATTTTCCGTCAAAGTTACAGTCTTCTGTCTCTTCTGAATCCTCGTGCCTCGTGTGTTTCGCATTATTCCTTGACCCTCGTCCTCTTTTCTTCTTATTCCCTTTCTCCCGCCGCACATCACTCTCGTGAACGGCAGCGGAAGAAGGTCCCAGGTCCTCTCGGTGACGGCGCTTGAGGCAGCGACGGATTGAACCCAGAAGAGTGAGAAACGATACAGGAGAGAAGAAGGTGAAAACGGGGGAGTTCGGCGAGAGTAGCAGACGGAGATAGGCGTCGGAGGCCAATAGGCTCAGACGGCCACCCTCCACCGGAGAATCCATGGCGGCGGATAAGCGGCGGAGGAAAAATGAAGCCAACCGCGAGAGTTCGCCGTAGAACCGATAGAGAAGTTCCTCGTCATCGGAATCCAGGAGAGACCGGAGATCTGTGACAAGCTCGTGGTAGTAAGATTCATCTTCTCCTCCTCCTTCAATGCCTGCTACAATTCTCGTAATCATAACCTCTTCATCCATGGTGGTTCTACTGCAATAATTTCGTTCGACGACGAAGACTTGGATTCAGAGAATTTCTCGAAATGTTTGAACTTTTTCGACTCCCGCGATATGTTTGTTCCTTTGTCATTTCAAAAAGGATCCAAGCAAAGGTAGGGCAAAGTAACATTTGCTTAAACCTAGAGCCCTAAATTGTAATTTCATCCGGCGATATTTTTCCTGTGTTGCGTTTTCACCGAAATCTCGGTGCGCTCGCATATAAAAACCCAGCCTTATTAGTGGCCACAAATACCCGAAAATCGCATATTTGTCGGATACTCGTCTCACAGATAATCGATTTTAGGGTACTTATAATTTTCAAATCCTAATCCAAATCTGGATTTTTCAATATTCGTGAATCCGAATCCAAATCCAGATAATAGAATTTTTAAAAACGGATACCCGCATATATCAGACTAGTATGATTATAAATAATTATATCTTATATCTATATAATATTTTTATAAAATATAATTATTTTAGGTTAAATAATTTTATATTTTTTAATATTATCTCAAAAAACTAAATTTATTATCATTTATCTCTTTTTATCTTTATCATAATTCGTCTATTTTTATAAATATATATTCATTTTTTGAAAATTTTATATATAAATATTGTTATTTTTTATAAATAAATATGTATCCGGATATCCGCGAGTACTCGACCATTATTCCGGATATCTATACCCGGGATACTTGTAAACCCCAAATACCGGATACAAATCTTATAATTAAATATACGAACCTTCCGAATCCAAATCCAAATATCCCAATTTTCCCGAGTCTCCGATCCGTGCTCACCTGATCCCATTTGCTTGCCCTCTGGTCGTTGCGTCTCTCCCCCACAACATAGAGCCAGCGAGAGAGACAACGAAAGAGCGGCCATTTTGGTTTATCAGGATATCCTCACTGGTAAGATTAGTCTCTCCTTAATCACTGTTTCATCTTGTCTTAATCTCTTAACTAGTCAATTTGTGTCCTCGATCGGACCAGTTACGCTTTCGACTTCTATATTCGTGTCCATCCCTAGTTTTGCTGATCTTAGACCCAAAAAAGATTATTATTTGGGGCCACAATTAATTTGCGGATATTTTACATAAAATAACAAAATTATGGGGACAAACAAAAATTTAAAATGAGCATCTACAAATTTTATTTAGAATGCATGAGAAAATTAAGAATTTTTAGATATTTAAATGGGTGTATAGGACCCCATCCAAATATACATAGGTCCGTCCATATATAGTTTTTTTTGTATGCCCATATATATAGTTTATGCACATACAAACGCATATTTTAATGTGTGAACTCAAACGTATAAAGGTTTTCGTTTTGTATAAATATATGTATGCATATATTGAGTTTATCTTATAGTTATAAATATTTCGTATTAAAATCCAGTAATACGCATGTTTAGAAATGTGGGATTCATTTTTCTTTTTGGCTAAAAAAAAACAAACAATTCGATGGGCTTGGCCGGAGGTACATGTAATTAAGGAAGGTATATATCTTGAGTATGGTGTACATCTTTTAAAACCTAGTTTTTTATTTTAAAAAGGAAAAAACTCTCAAAATTCTTGAACTTGTAATTTGATATAATATAAATTCCTGAACTGGTAGAGGTGTCTATCAATTCCCGAACTTGCAAAATTGAACATGGTAATTACTGAATTTGTTAAACGGTTCCATAATCGTCCTCAGTGTTAATTGGTCAAAAAAATGCGTTGACATATCCGACGTGGTGTGTGACGTGTTGAGTCAGCTCAGAAAATTTGTGTCACGTGTGCAATTTTCGGTTTTTTGAAAAATCGTGTTTCATCAACCAGATTGAACAGTAAACCGGGTTTACTGGAACCGGTTTAAACCGGATTTACTGTAACCGAATCAGAGCGAACTCCTCTTCCAGATTGTTATTCAACACCTCACAAATCTGTCGCCTCCCAATCTCTCCGCCGACTCGCCGTCTCCAGCCGCCGTCTTGGGTTCGGATTCCAAAAGAGTTTTAGATTCTTTGGCGAAAATAGCAACGGTCCTCCGCGTTTTCGTCGTCTCCTATATATTGCCATCGTCGCTCTCTTCTCAGCTTCATCCTCAACCCACACAAATCTCTCTCTGGAAAAAACAGACATCAAAAGCTCTGTCTGAGCAGCATATGTCTCAAAGGCTCTCTGTGCCTCATTCCTCTTCTGTCGCCTTCGGCCTCCACTCTCATCTCATGGGTTTCAGTGAGATGAACCCTAATTCCAACTGGTCTCTCTGAAGCAATCAAAACCCAGATTTCGTCTTCTCCCTTTTTTTTCCTGATTCGTTAACAATTTTTTTTTATTGTAATTCGCGGTCTTTTCCCCCGAGAAGATGGGTCTAAAGGTTTTCGCCGAAGGAGGGATCGCTTCGATCGTGGCGGGTTGTTCGACCCACCCGTTTGACCTCATCAAGGTCCGAATGCAGCTTCAAGGCGAATTCGCTCCCAACTCGATGATTCAACGCAATCTTCGGCCGGCTCTCGCTTTCCAAACCAACGTCTCCTCCACCGCTGCCGTCCACAGAGCCGTAAAAGACGGCGAAGGTGGAGCCCGAACCCAAGGCGGTGGCTGGATACGGCGAGTCAACGGAGAGATTGGGAGGCGACAGATTTATGAGGTCTGGAATGACAATCTGGAAGAGGAGTTCGCTCTGATTCGGTTCGAGTAAATCCAGTTTAAACCGGTTCCAGTAAACCCGGATTACTGTTCAATCTGGTCGATTAAACACGATTTTTCGAAAAACCGAAAATTGCACACGTGGCAGAAATTTTCTGAGCTGGTTCGACACGTCACGCGCCACGTCGGATAGGTCAACGTGTTTTTTTGAACAATTAACACTGAGGATGGTTATGGAACCGTTTAACAAGTTTAGTAATTACCATGTTCAATTTTGCAAAATATATAATTTGATGATAATTTTTTTCATAAAATTAATAAAAATACTAGTGTCAACACATATCTTCAGATGTACACAAGACACTCATAGTAGTACGTAGACATATTTGTCATTTGTCTACATCACAACTAACATGTGTTTGCACGCAACTTTGGCCGTGAAAGTAACTCATTATGTAATATTATATAATATATATATATGGTCATTCGACGCTTTATATTATATGTTCCCGTCTTACATGCGTATATGTATATATACATATATAAACACACACAACATATATATATATAATTTATTTAAACCATAATTTCATTACATTTGACATGTCGATTTTCGACTTTTATATTCTTTTTAAGTGAAAATGATTTAGGTTAAAGCAGCAAAAGTATCAATTAAAAGGAAGTAAACCACGAGTTCATGTCGGCCCACTTCACAAATTCACCGCCTTCGGCTCTTCTTGCATTCCATTTATTAATATTAACACACACATATATGCGTACCAACATGCATACATTATACATGCATTTATGTATGTATGTATGTATGCATGACTATATATATCGAGAGAGGTCTTCGGAGTATGAAATGCCTTTATTCAAGGTATAACTATAAAGCTATATGTTATCACAAGACATGGCACAATGTAACATGATTCGTAAAACAGAGTATTTGAAACTCATATATACACACACACACATGCATGCACACGCATCATTTAAAACAATTATATACTAATCGTGTATGTGTATAAGGAATAATAATACGCAGTGAATCGTTATACATTTGTGGAGAGAATATATATATATATATCCATCCGAGGAACAGAATGCAACCATTCAACGGTCACAATTTCATCTGTACATATTCGAAAAGCCTACAAACCAATGTAGAGATGAGCTCGAATAAAATAGCTGAAGGCAATGGATCAACAATGACAGAGAAAACAGGGAGCATAAGATAAAATGACAGAGAAGAAACCATTTGTTTTTATTTCCAGGGATAAGTTATATGGTAATTTACGATCATCAAAATGTGGAAGCAAGAACTCTTCTTCCATTCAACAAGAACTTTTTAACTAGCAAATTATGTATCCTTAAACTTTGAACTCTAGAAACGCAAAGGACATCACTCTAGGCAAAGTATAACATGTAAAGAAAAAGAAAGAAGATGATTTGCAGAGGACAAACCTCGGAAAGAGCTGAAATGGCAGCTTTTCTTATACTAATTAATGGATCTGAACAAGCCATACCCATTGTCTTTACCACATTAACATCAAAGCGACCACCCGAAAGGGATGTCAACTTAGTCGCAAGAAGAAGAGCAGATCTCCTCACAGCTGCCTTCTCATCCACACATCGTTTCAGCAAAAGGTCATTCATTTTCATTTTTTCAGCAGAAATCTCACCATTAAACCTATATATATATATATATATATATATATATATATATATATATATATTCAATAACAAGTTTTTTTTGTTAAAAAGGCGAACTTTATATACTATAAATAAGTGTTCAGATACAAAAGTCGGTCGGAGACCGAATACCCTCAAAATAACAATACCATGTGCCTCTAACTTGACACCATTATAACCAGAAAGGCAAGACAGCAATGTTTTACAGCAGTTAATGACTTTAGAGGATCTCAAAGCCTGTGTTATTGGTGGCTATAGGATCGAAAAAACAATAAAGTATCTATCTAAATAATTTCAATATTTGATATTCTATTATAGCGTATACACTTCTATCCATGCGATAATATGTATATATATATATATATATATATATAAGAAAATAGATTTTTGGTATATATTATAAGGGATTTGGCAGTGGTACGTCCACGTGGGTTAGAGAAAGATACAACATATACGGAGCCTTTGTCAACTCGAGCCAACTCAGCTATCGATTTTTCTTCTAATTGACATCATATGTAATATAAGGAAATATATCTACATATACTTTGGCCCTTATATGATTAGATACACGTCGGATATTTTCATATAAAACATTATCAACATACATACATACATACATAAATACATGCATACATGCATGCATACATACATACATACATACATATGTCGAACGTTTCAATGAAAAGTTTTTTTTAATAATCATTCATGAAAAGTTTTTTTTGGGTATGAATCATTCCTGAAAAGTTTTTTTTTTTTTGATAATTCGGGAGTTCACCGGACCTTTGACCCAATTACATCTTCCAGAGGAATGGGGCAATCCATGTGAAAACCCATCCCAACTAGGAATCGAACCGCCAACCTCTGAGTGCTTTGCACCCACCTGTTGACAACTCGCCCACAAGTTGTTGGGTATCATTCATGAAAAGTTGGAAGTCTAGTGAAATTATTTTGTATAGTTATAATAAAGTAAACGTAATGGGGCTCGAGTACATATATATTTGTTCGTGTATATGTACGTGTCTATATATGCGTGTGTCCCATATATATGGTTGATATGTTTTTAAATTTTCGAAATAGAGAGAGAGAGAGACATTAATTAGACATCGTTGGCACAATCATTTCAAAAATCGTGTGCACAAGTACGTTGTAGTTTTATTTCATCATAATGGTGCTCGTAATGTATGGTCCAAACACCTAAAAAAGGCCAACATTTGACGGGTGATTAAATATGAATTTGGGTGACGTTACAATATATATACACACACACCCAATACTGAATATCAGCGTTTATTTTCAATAATCGATACATACACAAACAAAAATGCTAATGCACTGAATTATAAATACCAAATAGTTATAAGGGTGTCCAATTTAGTTAATAATCAAGATATGGTTCGATTATCCTATTTGAATCAAATTCGACATAAAAAAATGAATTTAGCTAATAATCAATATATAGATCGTATTCGAATCAAGTTAAACAAAAAATGAAAAAAAATACGAACCGAATAAAAAAATAAATGAAAAATATTTTTTTTGAAAATTGAATATTTTTATCATTACAAATCGAATCGAATTTAAATCGAACTTAATTGAATTAAATATAAAAACTAAATGGTTATAGTTTTTTTAAAATCGAAATAACCGAACTTCAAATATAACCAAACTAGTTGGGACAAACCCCCTAAATGTTCATCCAAATAATAGTGATATCTCAACGTTTTAACAATCTATATATTTCAAATATAGAATCAAATCTACACTGAGTAAGTCCCTTTGCCAATCAAAAAAGATGTTGTTTTGGAATTTGACATTATTATTATTTCCTTTAAGTGTATTTTTAAAATCATATTTATATACGTACACAATTTGTTTTCCGTACGAAATGAAATTATGCACAAGAGATTGTGGTATTATAAATGAAGTTTACGCACGAAACGACCCAATGCTGATTATGGCGTTCGAGTACGTCCTTAATCATCATTATGAGATGTAATTAAGATACTGATTTTATGAGAATGATTAAAAATAAAAATACTTTCAATAAAAATAAAACTACACAAATTACAGTGTCACGATGAAATCGTTCATAGCTCTGTCAGTGTACATAAATTTCAACGCCATTATTGCTACAAAGTTAGCAACTCATTTGTTCTTTTCTTTATTCATCAGAGCACCCTATTCGACCACCAAATGTTACAAAAAATAAAAAAATTCAGACATCCTATATTCATTCATATGACCCTATGTTGTTGTGTGAAAAAAATATCATATTTTTTACTTATTTTTTTATTTATTTTATTTATTTTGAAAAAAAAACTAGATTCGTATATATTTTTAATTATTATTAAAAAAAGTAATAGTGTTTTATTTATTCTGAATATTTCATATTTTTTTTGTTACGACGAAAACCCCTATCCTACAACCCTTCGGGTCAGACATTAGACACCGCAACGCCTCTCAACCCATGGGTCAGACGAAAACGACATTAGAACAGTATCGCGGACCTGAGAAAATCCACCGCCCTGCGCAGTAGTCGGCAAACTACGCAGACCAGGTAAACCAGCCTCGTAAAACTGACGGGTTCAAGGAAAGTTTCCATATATGGATTTTGAACCCACAACTTCTTGGTAGAGGAAAATTGTACTAACCAATAACCACTAAACTGGGGACTCTCCTGCATATTTCCTGTTTTGAAGCGTTCAATATCTTATTTTCTCTTAAAGAAATACAAATACAGTTCATCATGTGTTGGTGATTTATCACACGCAAAAAAAGTCTTCTTGGTTTCCCGTTAGGGGTGTTTTTGTCATTTGATAGTAGAGCCGGATGTAATTTGACAATAACGCTACTGAAGGTAATAAGGGTAAATATGTAATATTCTTGAAATAAAAATCAAATTCAATCTTTAAAAAAGATAAATCAGACCCCTTATTATAGGTCAGTTAGCGTATTTAACCCTCTATTATGTAACGTATTATTTAGACCTCTGATGTGTGTGGAAAATAATAGTATAAAATCTTTTTAGAAATATATACGAATGCTATTAAAAAAACAAATACATAATAATCAAAATAGAAGAAAACATATAACTTGAAAATATATGATATAAACGCAACACTAATACTAGCGAACAGTATAACATGACTTGATAGTACCCAACAGATCGTGGACGAGTGGTCAAACTTGAGGTAGGAGGTAACTCCACCTTGAGGTTGAGTGTTCGATTCCTGGTTAGTGGGGAGGGAGGTAATTTCTGGATTTATATGATCCATATACAAAGGCTGCTTTCGGGCCGAAGGTTTACCTAGTCAGCACGTCCGAAGGGTAGCAGTTAGAGATCTTCCGTTATCAACAAAAAAAAAACATGACTTGATAGCCATTAAAAATTGTAAAAGTATTTGATGTGTGTATTATGTTCATATATTTTGTCAATTCATAAAATAAGTATTGTGAACATGCTGTCCTTTTTTTAATGGAATATATTATCCTTTTAATATGAAATACGTTATCTAATGTGAAAATTGTTAGACGAAACACTTCAAAAAGTCTTAAATTATGAAAGTGGTTTGGACTAATTAAGAAAAAAAAACACGTAGAGGGTTTAGGAACAATTATAAAAGTTGGAGGGGAACCATCGGAATTTCGGAAAGTAAAGGGGCCTCGTTTTCACTGGAAATTAAAATATTAAATACTTTTATATTTTTTATGTTAAATTTAATTTTCTCTTCCAACCTTTTCGTCGAATCGTTCCTCTCTCTCTCTCTCGGCCTAACATCTCTTACGAGATAGGAGACGAAAAATTTAAACAGAGCTCTTCCTTTCTCTCTCTTCTCATCGCCAAAGGATACGCGTCGCTTAGGGTTTTTTCCTCGTCAGATCTGATTGTTTCCCGAGAAAATTCCAGATCGCAGATCTCAAATCCTACCGCCGTGTATCTTCGTCTCAATTCGGTAAATGCTTCTTATGCCCCTTTTACTTTGTCTACTGTAACGCCTTGGAATTTCATCGATCTTCTGCTCTACTTCTCTGATGCGAGTTCTCATAATGGATTATCGGTTGAATTTCAGATTCGAAGGAAGTGAATAACTGTTTGGTGGACTTCCTGCTTTCATGTTGTGCGTTGAATCCGAATTCTATTCTCATTGTGAGTTTCCTACGCTTGCATCTGACATATTGTAATCGGGATCGTCATTTCATTCGTGATCCATTTTCTCGGATGGATTTCTTTTCGTAACATTTTGGGTCTGGTTTTGTTTGGATGAAGAGTTGATTTACAGATCTCCGAAGTTGGCTCCCCAAAGAAGATCACAGCGCCACATGGGCGGCCAGATGCAGCAGAGCAATGCTGCGGCTGCGACGGCGCTATACGATGGGTCTCTTCACAGTGCGGGCCCTGCAAATGACGCTGGTGATGCGGTCATGGCGCGGTGGCTTCAGTCCGCCGGTTTGCAGCATCTGGCATCTCCCGTTGCTTCCTCAGCCGTTGACCAGCGTCTTCTCCCCAGCCTTCTCATGCAGGTACTAAGTTTTGAAATTCTTGAACTCTGATTTATAGACCCATCCATTTGTTTGCCTCATGTTGTCTACGTAGGGCAGGGTCTTTTGGCGTATGCTTGTTTTGTGTCTTAAATTTGTTCAGTATGTATTAGTGTTAGATGTGCCGGTTTGATTAGGATTTTGGTTTGCAACAGAGCTGTGGGTTGAGATTATTGAAGAAGAAAGTATGGTTGGATCATTTCCTTGTTATGGATATTAGTCTTTGAGTTCTAAGTTCCGGTCAATTTGTAAACAGTTTCTCTGACTAGTCTGTGACCATGTGGGTGGTTTCGTTTACTTCTTGGGTTGTAAAGTTTCACGAATACCCATGAATTCTGAGTAGGGATGTTGCCATGCCCCTCGAGTTGTATCCACCAGTCAACTATTTATTCTTTTATTGCATGGTAGCTTGTCTCTTTTAATTGCACAATGTTTGTTTCATAAGGAACATCTTGTAGCTTGCTCCTGTAATTTATTTGCTTGAATGGGGTGTTCCACTGCTTGATGCCCTTATGGTGCATATGATATCTCCTAGGGTTATGGAGCACAAACTGCTGAAGAGAAGCAAAGACTTTTCAAACTAATGAGAAATCTCAACTTTAATGGAGAGTCGGCTTCTGAACCATATACTCCAACTGCACAGACATCGGCAGCTTTGTCCTCGTCAGATGGATTTTATTCACCTGAATTCAGAGGTGATTTTGGAGCTGGGTTGTTGGATCTTCATGCAATGGATGATACAGAACTGCTATCTGAGGTATGTTCATAAGGAGAGGATACGACAAAGAGTTGGCGTACTTTTGTCTAATTATATTCCGGGGAGCAGAGAAATTAGTAATTTCGTTTACCACCAGATGAGCCATCTTCTTAGTTACATCCCAGTTATAGTGCGATTTATGTCGACAACTCGACATCCTATTTCAATGTTCTGTTGTGAATTTTCCAGTCTATTATTATGTAGCCCATATAATTATATGCGGGACATCTGCTAGTGAAAAGATGATGTTTGATCTTCCTGAATCCCTTCCAGTCTATTATTATGTAGCCCAGAATCCCTTCCTCCTTCCTGAGGAAATAACTATAAGATTTTTTTAATGCTGATCTGTAAAAGCAAGTTTTTATTATTAAATAGAAACTTTTGCGACTACAAGTTACATTAGATGCACATACATATATTTGTTGGCTGTATGAAAAGGCTTTTATGGGAAGATTCTTCATGCTCGCTGCTGTTAAAAACTATGGTTTTGCTTGTTTTCTTTCTAACCTTTTACTTTTCCAATCATTTTTGCAGCATGTGATTTCGGAACCCTTTGAGCCGTCGCCTTTCATGCCCAGTGTTAATAAAGCACTGGAAGAAGATTTCAATTTGCCAGCTAGCCGGCAGCAACGTCAGGAAACAGATGCTGAACACTTTGCTTCACTTTCCAAGGGAGAAAATAGTGGAAGAGAGAATAATGTAGCCAAGATTAAAGTAGTGGTATGTCGATATGTTAAGCAGTTCCCCATTATTTGACTAGTGGTTTGATTCTAGGATGCTATGGTTTCAGGCAATGTCATTGACAGTTTGGGTTCCACCCTTTTTTAGGTGAGAAAAAGACCCCTGAATAAGAAGGAAACTGCGAGAAAGGAAGATGATATTGTTACTGTATCTGATAATTCTTTGACCGTCCATGAGCCAAAGCTAAAGGTTCGCGTGTGTGTTTTTCTATTGAAGTTAATAAATTACACCTGACAGTTTCACAAACTGAAACTTTTATTCATTATTATGTTGCCATTATATTCCTTAATTCCTACCTGCTTTTATAACGTTTTTCTTAGAGTTCGTACTCATAGATCCTGTTGCTTTTCATTTACTTTTATGATGGGATAAGAATCTTGATTGCGATGTTGCAGGTGGATTTGACTGCTTATGTGGAAAAGCATGAGTTCTGTTTTGATGCTGTTCTGGATGAGTATGTTTCAAATGATGAGGTAATCTAATAATTGTAGCGACTGGGAGTCCATATGTATCTCCTAGCTTAAGCACCTGTGCTACTTGCAATGAAGATAACAGAAATAAATTAAAATATGCTCTTGCCTGTTGATGGATATGTTAGATGAACATGAATAGCTTTCACCAAGAACTTTGTTTTCCAGTTTCAATGATGGGGGAGGCAGGGGACACATTTTTGTTTTAGTTTTACAGAACGCATGATTGGCTTCATTATTTTTTCTTCCCTTGTCAATAATTGCTGTAAGTCCCCATTGAACAGGTGTACAGGGTTACCATCGAGCCAATTATCCCAACCGTTTTCCAGAGAACCAAAGCAACCTGTTTTGCATATGGGCAAACAGGTAAAGACTGGTACCTTTGTTCAGCGGGAAATTCTTTTTAGTCCAGTTTGACTGTAATGGGTTTACTTTGCTAATGAAGTTTACCTCTTACTATTTTTAATGATAATAAGATTGCTCTTTTGTGGTGATTTCCTATAGCATATCGTCTTCATGCTTTGGTGTTTCTGACTGCGTTTTGTTTTTCTTTCAGGCAGTGGTAAGACATTTACAATGAAACCACTGCCTATCCGTGCTGCTGAAGATCTTGTGAGGCTGTTGCGTCAACCTGTATATCACAATCAGAGATTTAAATTGTGGCTCAGCTACTTTGAGATATATGGTGGAAAGCTGTTTGATCTTCTCAGTGACAGAAAGTAAGTATGTCTCCTTCTCATTCTTTTAGATGTCCTTTTTGTAGAGTCTTTTATCTCTTTTTTCTTTGCTACGGAAATTACCTCTGGAGTACACTTTGAGCAACCACTTGCTAGTTTCTCATTGTCGTTGGATGTTGTTTGGGTCCTATTATCCCGGGCTCTTTCATCCATTTGATCTTCATACTTTGCATTCTTGTCCACATTTGTGTCTGTACAAAAGCATCTGAAATTAGATGTATACAGATGGCTAAATTATTTAATTGTTGCTGAGTAGGAAACTTTGTATGCGAGAAGACGGTAGACAGCAAGTTTGCATTGTTGGACTGCAAGAGTATGAAGTTTCAGATGTTCAAATTGTGAAAGAATTTATCGAGAAAGGCAATTCTGCGAGGAGCACAGGATCGACTGGTGCCAATGAGGAATCTTCAAGATCGCATGCTATACTACAGCTTGTTGTCAAGAAGCACGTCGAGGTAAAAGACACCAGACGGAATAATAATGATGGTAATGAATCCCGAGGGAAAGTTGTGGGAAAGATATCTTTCATTGATCTTGCTGGCAGTGAAAGAGGTGCAGATACCACAGACAATGACCGCCAGACAAGGTAAGGCTCTATTCTCTTCTGTCTGTATAGTTATAGTACTCTTAGACCTGGTTAGTTTAAGTTGATCTTCCTGCTCGAGTGTAGTTTTTTTTTTGCATACTTTGCTTGGCCTTACGGTAAACTTTACCTAAGGTCATCTAGCACATTCCATGATTGATTTCTCACAACTTTATTTTTGTATGTAGGATCGAAGGTGCAGAAATCAACAAGAGTCTATTGGCTCTGAAGGAATGTATCCGTGCTCTGGATAATGACCAGCTACATATACCATTTCGTGGAAGCAAACTAACGGAAGTCCTTCGTGACTCATTCGTTGGAAACTCAAGAACTGTGATGATTTCTTGTATCTCTCCAAATGCTGGATCATGTGAACATACCCTTAATACATTAAGATACGCTGATCGGTATGCTTTTATGTTCTAAATTTTTTCTTGAATTAGTCTACTTTCAGTCCTTCATTCTATTCATAACTCATTAAATCAACAGGGTTAAGAGTCTATCCAAAAGTGGGAATGGCAAGAAGGATCAAACCATCACCTCGTTGCCACCAGCTAGTAAGGATGCATCATTGGCATCTTCTCAGCCAGTTTGTAATGATGTCGAAGATATCTCTGAGCCTCCAGTGGAAGTGAATGTACAGGAGAAGGGAAGGAGGGTAGAGAAGGACAGCTATTCTACTTCGGGCATTGAACTCAAGCAGCCTACAAGTTATCCATCTTCATACCCTATTAACATCAGAGAGGAGAGCGGAATACCATCCATCTCAATGGACAAAGTGAGGCCAGAGATGAGTAGTTCTTTTGGTGGCTCTACTAGTCAAAGGATCTATTCATCTTCATATTCCCAAGACACCTCCGATCAGGAAGAGAAAGTGAAGAAGGTGTCACCGCCTCGTAGGAAAGGGTTGCGGGAAGAAAAACCAGACCGGCCTCAAAACTGGACAAAAAGAGATGGTGGTGGCACATTGGAAGCCCCAGCCGTGCCAAACTCTAGAAAGCCTAATACTGTGGTCCAGAACACAAGTGATATTGCTTCAAGACAATATGAAACAGAGCCTTCTCTCGATGAGAATATCGATGCACTGCTCGAGGTAAATTCTCAGCTATGCAAATTTGACAGTCTATTGAACTGAGATACTCCTAAAAAACATTTGCCCAGAGTGTGATCCTCTAATATTCCATGAGTTCGTGCCAAAATATTTCTTGTGATTCATCTTAGAAAGTTATGTTGAGGATATAGGAAGAAATGTAATAGCTGTTGTTGTGGACTCTGGCAGGAAGAAGAAGCTCTAATTGCAGCGCACAGAAAGGAAATAGAAGACACGATGGAAATCGTGCGTGAGGTAATCTCTTTGAACTCCGTGTTGTTGTTGCCTTTGCAAAAAGCAGAAGCTTTTCTGGTTCAAACTCGCATTGAGTGTTTTGAAGCACATAATGATAATGCTGCAGTGTTTTTGAATTTACTGGTGATTTGTTGACGAGATATGCTTGTACATGATTTTTAATCTGTGGTTGGTATTAGAATCCATCGTGTTGAGACAATACCGGTTTAAGATGCCCCAGAAAACTAATTTTGCATTTTCAGAATGTTTTTGAATTTCCTAGACTGATAAGTGTGGGTCATATATATATATATATGTATAACAAATAAACAGGAAATGAAGCTACTAGCGGAAGTGGACCAGCCAGGAAGCATGATAGACAGCTATGTAACACAGCTAAGCTTTGTGTTGTCGAGGAAAGCAGCGGGACTCGTCAGCCTTCAAGCTCGCCTAGCTCGGTTCCAACACCGTCTCAAAGAACAAGAAATCCTCAGCCGCAAGAGAGTGCCGCCCCGGTAAACAACTGAAACATCGTCGCCTTCTTCTGCCTTCAGTAAAATTTGCATTTTGAAAAAAAAAAAACAGATTGAAATTCCTACAAAAGAAAAGAAGAAAGAAGAGTTTCGTTCAGTGAGTGTGTGGAGTGGATGGATGCGTATCTGTTTGGATACGGGCGAGTTTCATTCAGACAAAAGAGTGCTAAAAACTCGGTAGTTTCAGACGAAGGTGAGTGAAGGTTCTCTCTCTCTCTGACATACAGAGGAAAATGTTTGTGGTTTGTATGTGTTGGTGAAATGGAACGAGGCTGTGGGGTGGCATATATCGTATGTGGGTTTCTCTCTCTTTTTTCTTCTTCTTTTATTATTACATTTTGTGTTTTTTTTTTCTCCTGATTTTCTGTATTCTAAAAAACAGAATTGTAACAATCTTCTTCTTGTCCTTCACTTGGTAATGAAATGTGGGTTGCTACATCGATTCTCTTTGTTTGGAAGTTGAGAGAGAGCCGTGGAACGGTGTTGCAGTGAACTTGTTCGCTAAACGACGGCGTTTTGTCTCCACCATTAGAATTAAACCTGAAAATATCAAATTCAAAAGCGACCAGAACCGAACCGGCTCTTCTAGTGTCGTCTTTCCTCGCAATTTCGACCGTTGGTGAGTCAAATACTCCAACGGCTAGTTACCCCTTCCGCTTCCCTTTTTTTTTTTTAAAAATAAATTCCCAAAAGGATCAAACTTTCCCTTTATAAAAACTTAAACCCCTTCATCAGATTCTTCTCCCACGATACTCATAAAAAATATCCTCTCTCTCTCTCTCTCTCTCTCTCTCTCATTTTCTTCAACTTCCAGAGATCTAATGGCACTGAGGATAATAGATAATGCACTTCCTGTTGCACAGGAGCGGCCGAGGAAGCTGCAGAAACTGCCGAAGCAACCAGAGATGGGCGTAAATGACGAGAATAACCCAGTGGCTCAGCCTCCTCAACCATCAGCAGATTTGTCCGTCGATTACGTTGCTTCAGAGGATCTTGAACCCTTGTCTGACCCTGAATCCGCCTCCAAGGTGAGGTTTCGTCATGTGAATTATGATTTGAAAAAATAAAATGATCTTGTCATCTGATCCGGTGAAAATTGCTTATCTTCTCTTGTTATGTTCATTGAAGAGTTTACTGGAAGAGCTGGCTTCAAAGGATTGGACGAAAGTCTGTGAAGCACTGAACAACACGAGAAGAATGGCACTTCATCACTCTTCTCTCTTGTTGCCCATTCTGTGAGTGTTTTGCTTTACCCAATGCCCCTATTCATTAGCAAACAATCTATTCACCAGAGAAGGAAAAGGGTGTTTTAGATCGTATCTGAAATTTAGGGGGTGAATGTGGAAAATTGGTGAAAAATCAGACAACTATGATGGAATTGTTGTAATGGGATGCTGAGTCTGGGCGTTTTGCAAAATTGAAAAAACATATAGGGGAAAGGTAATAGTTGGGATGGTGAAGACGATGAAGAGCCCTAGAAGTGCCTTGTGCAAGACTTCTATCATGGCTTCCGCCGATTTCTTCAACGCCTTTGGAGAAACCCTACTCGAAGAACCTCACTCGAATCCCATCCATGATCTGGTAAAATTCCACCATGGCTGTAAGATCTGAATCCTTCAATTTAACACAAAAAGTAGCCAAATTTCATCATTTTGAAATGTTTCTTTTTCATGTTGATGTGAAAAAAACAGATACTTCAGCTACTAATGAAAGCTTCACAAGACAAGAAATTCGTGTGTGAAGAAGCAGACAGAGCACTTAACGCTATGGTTAACTCAGTAGCTCCTGTGCCCCTTCTGCGTCAGCTCCAATGCTATGTCGGCCACAGCAACCTCCGCATCCGGGCTAAAGCCGCTGTCTCTATCTCAAACTGTCTCTCTAAGATGGCAAGTTCCTGTCTTGAATGGCCCTCTTCTTCATTTTTGTGTTATATAAACCAATGGTTGATCTCTAATTCTTGAAATCTTCAAAAGGGTATCTCGATTCATAGGGTTTCAGAAGGTTAAAACCCTTTTCGAGGCACCATTGAACTTTTTCTGTTATTGCAGTAACCAGTTGATTTTCTTCCATTGATATATCTAAGTACTCTTGTAGGGTTTGGTTGAGATGGAAGGATTCGGGTCGGTTTCAATGGCGAAAATGGCTGCGGATTTGTTGAATGACAAGTTACCGGATGCGAGGGAAGCCGCCAGAAGTATCGTGAACTCTGTCTACCAGAAGATCACAGCAGAAGAGGAAAACAAACAAGAAGCTTGGCAGAAGTTTTGTGAGACCAATCTAACGCAGCTTAATGCGCAAGCCATGATGAAGATCGTCTCTTCTCGATAAAGACAAAGGCTACTGAAAACTCTCTGATAGCATATCGAGTCAGGGGCCTTTAGTACTATTTTTGAGATTGAATTCTCTCTCTCCCCAAAGTTTTCTTCGACGGTGCATCGGGAAACCGCCATGATGGCTGCGGCGGAGCTATTCGGTCGAGTTTCTTCGACGCTTCAAGTTTGGAATTTTCCACTACAAAATGTTCTGTTTGGTTCAATTATAGTATGGATTTAATTAAAGCAATTTGACTTTGCTACCAAATCTCTTCGGTGTTGTCTCTCAGGCCATCCGTTGTTTGTATTTGCCTCTCTCTCTCTCTCTCCCCCCACCACATCATGGCGTCCAACAGCCTCAAGCTTCACCAAATCCCGGCAGAACCCTAAAATTCTTGTCTGCTCCCTCGTCTTTCTTCCTTGTCGAATCTGATATTCCCCTCTCTTTATCGTGTTCCGTCTCCTTTTCGAATGGTTCGTTTAAAACGAACGATGGAGTCGGAGAGGCCTCATGTTTCCATTTCCGCTGCTGTACCTTACGTTTACGCGCGTACTCTCTCTCCTTTGTCTTCCGCAGGTGCTGTCCCCATCCGTGCACCTCTCACCATTGACGACGACGATGAGACCAGTGAAGACGACGGTTCCGGTTCTGGAACCGACAAAGAATTTGGGTATGCCCCAGACGATGAAACGGAGAAAGGACACGCCGATTTGGGCGGGATTAGGGTTCGTAGGCCATCTATGGAAGACCCAGATGCCGAAAGTGGAGAAATCAGTGGCTTTGCAGGCAGGAGTATAGTCTATACACCATTTGTAGTCTCTGTAAATTACTCTTCTTTTGGCGAGGAAAAGAGCGAGAGTAGCAATGAGGTTGACGGAGTTAGCGAGAGTGAAATTGGCAGTGAAGCTAAAGCAGCTAGCTTGAATGCAGGAATAGCCATTCCTCGCGTCAGGTTGTCATTGGATGATGATGATGAAATTGATGAAACATTGAGTAGTGAAGATGAAGATAATCAATTACGTGTGGTAAAGCCTCCTGGTTATTCAGGAGAAGTTGCAGAAGTTATGGATGAACTGAACTGCTCTGGTTCCGTTACAGGTGAATTCATCATTTTCACAGAGGAAGAAAAAATGATGGGGATGAACTATTTAGATAATGGTGGTGATGCAACAGAAGAAAGTGATGAGTTGCTGGTGGAAAACAAAGGAAACTTTGTCGAGGCAGGTAAGGGGATAGATGAAACTGTCAATCAGGTCATCGAACAAGTAGCCATTCAAGGAACTGTCATCGAAGAAACTGATCATATACCTCTTAGTGGTGCTCCTGAATCAAATGCTTTGATGATTGCTGTTGAAGGGTCTATTGGATTAGGAAGTGGAGACTCCGAAAGTGAAAAAGCTGGAAATATGGTAGGGGAGGGGAAGGATTGTCGGGAAAATGTTTGTGGTGTTGTTAGTGGATTAGGAAGACAAGAATATGAAGTTGAACCAGAAGAGTCTGAAAAGGACAGAAAGCAAGATTTAGAGGAGATTGGAAGGAAGTTGTCACCTTTTGAAGAAAGCTTTAGGAGTTCCCCCCATATCAATAATCAGGTTGCTTTGGAATCTGATAGTGAAGTGAACCAAATCTCGGTGAAGGTAGAGGAGAGTTCTTTGCTTTCTGATAAAGATGATGAGGTTATCACTTCTGCGAATTATTCTGTAATCACTGATGAAGATATGGAGAATGAAACACAAATAGAACAACTGATTCACGATCAAACTCTCGAGGAGTTTGAAGAAACTAATGGTGGAAAAGAGAAACCATTTCATTCTACTCTACTAAGTGTTCCTGAAGAACCATACCCGGAGCATTTTACCTGGAAAATAAGAAAAGAAGAGAAGGAAAGGATAAAAAATATGCAAATTCTGAAAACAAAGCTCATGAGAATTGTCAGAAGATTAGGTCTTTCAGCTGATGATTTAGTTGTTACTGAAGTTTTGTATGAACTGACTCAAGCTTCTGGAGAATACCGAACCTCTCGTGGGTTTTATTCTGAGTACGATGTAATGTTGAAGACAATCAAACTCGAAACAGAGGGTCCAGAGGATTTGGACTTCTCCATCAATATCCTCGTTCTCGGAAAAATTGGGGTAGGAAAAAGTGCTACAATTAATTCTATTTTTAGTGAGACTAAATCTCCGGTTGGTTCATTCGGGCTTACAACAAAGTCTGTAAAATACATAGTTGGGAAAGTTGGAGGTGTTCAGGTCAGAGCTATTGATACTCCTGGCCTAAGATCATCTGCCACCGAAGAATGGGTAAACCGAGAGGTACTTCTATCTGTAAAGAGGTGTTTGAGAACATTTCCTGTTGACATTGTCCTATTTGTAGACCGCTTGGATGGGCATTCAGGAAATACTAGGGACATTCAACTACTTAGAACTGTTACCAGTTATTTGGGACCATCGATATGGAGAAATTCCATTTTCATTCTTACCCACGCAGCTACCACTGTTCTTGATTCTCCAAATTACAAAGATTTTGTTACTCAGAGAAGTTTCCTTCTGTGTCAGTCACTCAGACAAGCAGTTCCAGAACTGGCCTCTATCGATGTCAGCATGATACCGAGAGTTGTTCTGGCGGAGAACGAGAAGTTGTTCCAAGAGACGAAAACCGATGAGTTCAAATCCCTTATGTGGAGATCACAACTGCTGCTCTTATGTTGTTCGGCTAAGATCATGGCAGAGACAAGTTACTTGCAAAAGGATGAAACTCTGGTAGAAAAACCGGATCTTTTTGCTCCCCCACTTCGGTCTTTCACTATTTTCTTCTCCTTGTGGAATATGTTGCTTCATGGAGCTGATCCAAGACAAGTTTTTTCTTGTTTACACCACGATTTTGAGGGGAAGATAGGACATTTCTTGGATTCTGAAACATTTCTGATGAACAAAAGACCAGTAGATGAGGGAATCAACAAGGGTTTTGAAGTCAGAACAGCTCTTGATCGTGTTAGAACCCGGAACACCCGGAAAAGAAGACTTGAATTCCAAGTAAAACCAGGTTCTTTAGTGTTTGGCTTCATCAGTGTGTCTGATCAGAAAACAGGGTTGTTCAGTGTGGGAACCAACGAAGAACGAGAAGGGAGGATGTTGGTGAAGATGAGAGGCTCCATGGCAGTTCTTGGAGTTGTTCCTCTGTTGATGTCTGTGTTCAGTTTTGTTTATGTCGGAAAATAAGCAGAAAAACGTATTTGGATAGTTTTGTTATCTGTTTGCTTCTAACTTTGTAGCTTATGTATGTATCCCTCACTTTCGTTGTAGGTTTTACGTAAGGATTGAATAAGTATATTTTGTAAGTATAATATAGATAAAGACAGTTATAATGTGTGCTGTAACTGGATTTAAGTTGAAGCAAAATTTACTACAAATTGATAAAATTGGGGTACAAGTAAGAATAAGAGAAAATTTGTTTTGGGGTGGTTTTTGAAAAGAAGTAATAGTATAGGGGCCTTTTCAAAAGTTTCTTCTTTTTTCGGGGTTGGTTTATTATTGCTATTGCCGGTAATCCATTTCTCTTCTCTTCCCCCTTGGCTCGTCGTTACTTTGCCGAATTCAAATTCTTCGTTCTCTGATCAGACGGAAAACCCTAAAATGGTACATCTCTGCATCTTTCAATCTTTTTCAGTTGCTTGTCTTCTCTGAATTACTCCAGTTTCTTCTCCATTTCGACCAAATTCATGTTATTGTGCTTGGTTTCATAATTTCATTTATAGGGGCGTCGAACCGATCGGGAAGCTTGGGTAACTTCTGCGTGTTTTCGATTGAATCTAGGGTTAGGTGTTGGAATACGTTTCGGATTGGATATCTATGATTCAGAAGCATGTACGTACCTTTGAATTAGATTTAGAATCCTTGTTTTGCTACATTGATATATTTAAAATCTTTTGGATTTTCAGGCTCTGTTCTTTCAGCATAAGTTTTATCCAGGTCAAAATCTGATTCGGGCTTTAGAACTTGGTGTAAAATCTGGATGACTTATGGGCTTTGATTTTCACTTTCCCCCCTTCGGTGTACAATAGGCTCTCGCCTTTTGTCTTTTTCGAGCATTGGTTTTTCAAATTTGAGGATTTCAGTCTCGGAGAGAAATAGTATCATTAATGTCGATCACGAGAGCTGATCGAGGTTCCAGTTGAAGCTTCTAACTATTTCCAAAGCGGTTTTCCTTTTGTTAAACTTGCCCGGTCCAACCTTCTCGGTTAAATATCCATGCATCTAGCTCATACCATATATGGGGACCAAAATGCTTATAGATAGAGTGTTCTTGAATTTTCATCTTAATTTGATTGCTTCACGGTAGATGGATGGATTGTCTTGTGGTAAGCCTCAGCCTCTCGAAAATGTGTGATTGTGCAATGGGATTTTATGTTGGACTCGGCCTTTTTTGTGTTTGTTATTCCCACCTTGCCGGTTTTTCTTTTTTTTTGGTAGGATGGACACGGTTCTGAGGATCCTAAGCAAAGCACTGCTGATATGACAGCATTTGTGAGTATCCCATACATAAAACCTACTCACTAGTTGGTCTGAATTGCTTTGTATGGGTGTCAGATTCAGTCTGCTTCTGGTTTTGAGACAATGTGACTCGGTTCTTTTGCTGAACGTTGGATTCTCATCTGCAGGTCCAGAATCTTCTGCAGCAGATGGTGGGTTGGACGACTTTTCTGTCTTTTTAGGGTTTGAAATTACAGCCCTGGTAGGTAGATTTTCACTAATTTTGTTTGATATGTGTGTTTCAGCAATCCAGGTTCCAAACAATGTCAGACTCCATTATTACGAAGAATATCCTTTTACAAATCTGTAGTTGAACTCCAACGTTGCTTTTATAGTGTAGTTGAAAGCTTTTATATCTCCTAGAGCTATAGCTTGTTCCCTGTTCTTCATTTCATTTTATCATGAGAGAAAGAAGTCTTTTTTTCCATGGGAATCTACTAGGAATTTGATGATGAAAATAATACCCAGGAAGATGTCATCGAGTAGTTTGTTCCTGGTTAAGATATTCTTAGGAAGATAAGATGGATCCATTGGATAGTGCATTCAGATTACTGTAGCGATCTGGCCCTTTTGCATTAATTATGAACTCCTTGACTTGAGGTTTCACTCGATGAGATGGGGAGCAGGATCGATGAGCTCGAGCAGAGCATCGACGACCTTAGAGCTGAGATGGGTGTAGAAGGTTCTCCTCCTCCAGCCTCCAAATCAAGCGAATAACCCTAAGACTCCAATCCGACCATCCTCTACTTCAGAATCTATTCTAACTACTCTCATTGATATCATCACTCTTTAGACAGGTCAGTATGCTGCAGCGTTTCGCAGAAGCTACTATATTTTTTTTTAAAAAGATTCAGTGTTTGTGGTTCCCTTGAGAGACCGATATGGCTTAGTTTCTGTATGAATTTTGCTTTGGTTGATTTTCTCTGTCTAATTTGTTTTCACTATATTTAATGTTATGGGTCCTCATCTAATCATTGGAAGAGATGATGCAAGTCTTTTTCTCCTTTGATGTAATTCAATAGATAGATAGATGGATCTGCAACACTTACAAAACTTATCCATACTATGGTCATGAAAATACCAACTTCCCAAGTTGTGATTGTTTTTGTATTTTTACCAGAAATCAAATCACATATGAGAAGTGTTTTCAACCCACAAGGAAAGGGTATTATTGTATGCTTCAAAGATGTTGAGGATCTTTTGTAAATATTTGATAAATATATGGACCTAATTGTTATGTTCTAAACGATACTTGGGCTTAAAGTTTATTTTACACTGCTGAAACGTTGGAAATAGATCGGGCGACTATAATCTATATTGAGTCCGTTGACAAAAAAATAAATAAATAAATAAAACACGGACGAGTGCACTCGGTGTTAACACGCTCGCTCACGGCGTCGAACGAGTCGGACTCGCTATGGATTTACCTCCGACGAAGCTTGATTACTTCGTGGATATGTCGATACTTCAATCCAAATCCAAACTACTCTCCTTAAAGGTTCGTTCCCCGGTTTCTATTCCTGAGCATTTTCCTCTCCCACCTTTGTGATCATCTTCTTCGACTCCATCTCTCTCTCTCTCTAGGAAGACGATGGCGGTACAGCTTTGATTCTGGACTCGACGGTGTTCCATCCGCAAGGAGGAGGCCAGCCATCGGACACAGGCTTCATCGTGTTTGCTGGTTCGGATATCAAGTTTTCCGTTCAAGATGTTCGATCAAAAGATGGAATTGTAATTTCTAATTTCTTCTCGCGTCATTCGATTTCTGTTTGCCCCGTTTGGTGCTTAGAATTTCTTTATATTCGGTTGATTTTCCAATTTCATTGGGTTTTGGTGTTGCTTGTGTATTTCCGACATTGATCGTAGGTTTTCCATTTCGGAGATTTTGAGTGTTCAAATCCTGAAAGTGGAACAACTCTTGAGGAAGGACAAGAAGTTCTCTTGCTTGTTGATGAATCAAGGCGCAAGCTTAATTCTAGGTAAGGATAATTATGTGATATTGATTGAAGTCATTGCATAGAATAATCGATCTTGCAAGTGCCTAAAGTGTGATGTAGCATGGAACACGTCTTTGTACAGATTACATCACTAGGAAACGTTGTTCTGTCATGTATAATTTTTTGTTTTCAAGTTCGAAACTTCCAAGCACATGTAATGCAGCTTCCTAATATGTCCAATTGTTCTTAGCATATTTTACTTCGTAGACATTGACACCATTGTACGTTGTGCATGAGCGCGCAATAAGTGTCAATGATTTTGTGAAATACAGTTTTTGATGTTTGCGTTTTATCCATCTTTTTTGTTTGAACAATGTCCAGAACTAAAAGTAGGTTTATGTCATGGTACAGGTTGCACTCAGCTGGGCACTTACTAGACGTGTGTATGCAGAAAGTTGGTTTGGGGCATCTGGAGCCTGGAAAAGGGTACCATTTTCCAGATGGGTAATGATCCAAAATTTTAATCGAAAGCTTTTCATGGGCAAGTTATCTCAGACTTATGACTTGAAGTTTTGGAACCATTTTCTTTCATGAGTTAAACCAGATAGCTTTCAAATTTTCCTTTTGAGAATACAGTAGAAAAAGCTGTGGCTCTTGTAGCTTTCCTGTCAACTTCAAACGGGTCAGCTAACTACATTTTATCAGTCCTTTTGTGGAATACAAAGGAACTGTCCCGCAGGATGAATTGCAGGTGAAGCAGAAAGAGCTGGAGGCAGAAGCTAATGAACTGATATCTAGAGGAGGGAAGGTAAATCCTCGAGAGCCTTCTGCTCAGACTTGGATTTATCTGATTTTGCGATAAATATCTTAAAAAGATTCTTTACCCCTTTTAAGGTTTATGCTGCTATCTTGCCTTATGAAGAAGCATCCAAGCTCTGTGGTGGCAGTCTTCCCAATTATATTGCTAAGGTATAAGCAAAGATGCAAATTCTTTTTCCCTGATTTTTTTTTTGGTTTCTGCTTCTCTTGTAATGATGCCAATTATTTAAAGTAATAATAATTATCATCTTCTAGTTATATCAAATTCTGCATGGTTTTAGTAACATGGCTGAATGATGTTCACACTGTGGCTTTGTGAAGTGAAGCAGAGCCTTGGATAGATATCAAGTCCTGCACTTACCCTATTGCATTGACATGCCTAAGTTACGACCAATCAGGACACTTGATAGCTCATGGAATAAGTTAGCCTGATTGTCACAACATAACATATGAACTTAGTTTTAAGTTTCAACAACAGGTAGAATATTCGAATTTCGAAATCATTTCATGTAACTGGGTCTCTTGCCAAGTATCAAGCTTTGATGTTGCTTTGCAGGGAAGCACTCCTCGGATCATAAAGTTAGGTGACAGTCCTGGCTGTCCTTGTGGTGGTACCCATGTCTCTGACATTTCTGATATCATAAGCATGAAAGTACGTTATGAGTTTACCTGTTTCAGGCAAAACTTTCTATCGTAGTTAATGCCCTTGTCATATAAGTGAATTTCGATATTTGAACCTCCATTCCTTTGTTTCAGGTCACGCAGGTTAGAACCAAGAAAGGAACGACGAAAGTTTTCTACACCATCGGATCTTAGTACTATCTTTGATCGGATCCAGTTCACATACAAAACTGTATTCTTGATTCTTGATGAGGTACGGTTCGCCTTAACTTACTGGTGTTACAGTGTTACTGCTATTTTGTGAGATCACAGATGTGTCTGAACAGGGAAATATACTATAATTCCTCAATGCTTTCCGAACAGTGTCTAGTTTAAAACCTAAAAAAACAAGCTTCCATCTTTTGTCACGTTCTCTGGTCTCAGTCCTAGGGTTCTGTGATATATATTGATACCCCGACGAAACTCTGTTATATTCTCCTCTGGTGTTTCCGGTCTTATTCAGTGTTTCTGAAATGCTTGCTAGATCTTTGTGCTTTTATATGTTTTGTTGTTATCTGTTTTAGCAACAAGGAAACCGTAGCCATTGTCCTCCTTGTCGCTACACCAAATTAAATATGTGAAAACCGGGTCCAAACACAAGTGTTTGATGTAGCTTTAGAGAGTGTCGGTTGAATGGAAAATGGATAAAGTTATCCATCGTAGATGGATCCTAATCAGATGTCATTTTCAGGGTTTTGTTGTTGTTGTTCTCAATAGAATGATACAATAGCTTAAATGGACCAAAATCAGATGTCGTTTTCAGGGTTTCAAAGTGTTGGAAACTAGTTCTTGAGAGCTGCCTCTTTTTAAATAGCGCTGCCATATGATATGACTGACTTCTCAGAGAGTCTCAACAGCCAGAAATCAAAGAGCCTCCTCTCCATCTGATAAATGGCTCTCCCTATCCATCTGAGGTCAGATTGATATTACACGTCTTTGTTTATTTATATATATATATATGTATTGGTGGCTGTGTGGTTTGGTATTTGTGGAAAAGTAGAATTTTGCCTATGACACACTTGGTTTAATCTTTTTTTATTTAGTGGTTGGTTCTGCAAATGTGCGTCCAAAGAAGCCAAACCGGTGTTTCGGAATCTAGTGTTTCTCATGATGTCCCAATTCATTTCGTCATTTCCCTTACAAATCTTTCAACAACTTATCACAGAAGTCTGTATTTTGCATTGGGTTTGTTCTCTCGGTCTCAGATAGTTTACTCTTTAGAAAGGATCATACAACATATAGTCTAGTGACGCTCACCGTAACTCCATTTCGATTTCAATGACACACACATATTAATATATATATATATATATGCAAAACCAAATATTAATGGGTTCGTTAATAATCAAAACATGATATTTACAAATAAATTTATGCATAATTGGTTTTTGGGTCGTCGGACTCCTCGCCAATCATTTTCGAATTAGGGTTAAGCAAACAGAAGTAATGTATGAGAGAGAGAGAATAAAAGGGAGATAATAGTGAGGAAAATGACACAAGGTAACAGGAAACAGAAAAGAAATTAATTTTTTAAAATTTGATGAAACTAATTAAGTATTTCATATGCTCTTACACACATTTAATCTAAATGAGGGGCAAATATGTTTTCAGTTAGGATTATATAAAAAATACCCTTAATTTGTTATTTCTACTTCAAGACCTACCATTGTGATCATGTGATCAATATGACCGAAATATAGTGTGGTCACATTTTGACTTTATCGATTATAATTTATAACGTTAAATTTATGGTGATCACACTAATTCATTATGTTCATACATTGTATATCTTACTAATCATTTGATTAAAACATTATAAATTTAACGTTATGAACAATGGAATCAATATGTGACCACACTATATTTCGGTCACATTGGTCACATGGTAGGGCTTGAAGTAGAAATAACAAAGTAAGGGCATATATATATATATATATATGACAAATGAAGGATTTTGGTGGTTACTTGTTGAAGTGAAAATAGGAAAGGAAGGTTACTGCCCCATGCAAAACCTAAACCGAACTAATTAATTAATTCCACCTACTCCTCCCCAATCATTTTCGAATGAACTGGTGGTGCTTCGCTCATGGTTCTTGAGACCCGAAAAATAAGAACCAAAAAATATGGTACAATTCTCCAAAATCTTTGACCGATATTTTGTTATAGAACAGAATTTTTTAAAACCGAATCAAATTTAAACAAAATCTAAAAAATCAATTATTTTTTAAATTTTTAATTTTTTTAATAAAAATCAGAATTTTTTTCTTCGATAATCCGAAAATTCACCGGAACTTTGGTCCGACTATATCTCCCAGAATATCGGAGAAGTGTGAATATCCGCTTGGGTTGGCATTATATCAAAAATACATTTATTTTGCTATTCTTACTTCAACACATATCATTATCCAGTTGTGACCATGTGACCAATGTGATCCAAAATATAGTGTGGTCACATTTTAATTTTATTGATTATAACCTTAAATTTATGTTATCTCACTAATTCATTATGTTCTTACCTTATATATCTTACTAATTATTTGATTAAAATATCATAAATTTAATGTTATAAATAATTAGATCAACATGTGACTACACCACATGTTCACAATTGGAGAAGGGTATGTGTTGGACTAAGAATAGCAAAATAAGGGTATTTTTTATAATGTTCTGCTTGGGTTTGAACTATAAAAACCAGAATTGAAACCGAATATAATATAATCGATTGATATATATTTTTTAGAGTACAAAAATCGAAAGGAATCTAAACCGAAAACTCACCCAATGGAGTTTTGGAGGTAGTCGTTCAAGTGAAAATAGGAACCTTGCAAAAGATTCTAGGATTTATTCCCAATTTTGGCAAAGAGTCGTTCATTTGTTACAGCTCTTTTCCTCCATCCATCTCTCCCTCTCCCTCCCTCCTTTTGAGCTGTTTTCACTCCTTTTATTCTCTCCGTACTTCTTCTTCTTCTTCTTCTTCTTCTTCTTCTTCTTCCTCGTCATTTTCTTGGTCTCTCCGTCCGTCGCTTTTCCGCCTGTCCCTCGAAATTCGTCGACTTCTCGGGTTCTGCTACGGACTTGCGAGGTTTCGGCCATTTGGGTTTCCTTCTACGCCATGGTTAGTTCCTTTTTCTGCTGTTGAGTATTTCCCTTTTCTTTAATTCTGTGATTAGGGTAAATTTTTATTCCCTTTTTGTCAGCTGTGAGCCGTCCTGTGAAAGGGGTTTATTTTTGTACGAATCCTTGGAACTGTGCTGTAATCTTGTCTCGTTGATAACACTAAATCCCATGTATTTACCGCGTATACGTATGGGTATGCGTATATGCATGTATGTATCTACGCTGGTTTTCTGAATGCAGATATCTCTCTTGCAGTATAAAATAGCTTTCCATCCCTTTTCTGATTCGTCCCTGTTTTCTTCAACTTTTGCCACCAACCTCTGTAGCTTGCATTTGATTCATCATCATGATGATGAAGCATCTATATAGTCCAGATTTTGTTTTTTTGTTTTTATATAGAAAAATGATCTTCCGTATATATCATGATAGACCCTACATTGAGTTTTGCCGGCGGAAAGTGTTCATTATTTTGACTATCTAATTCTGAACTTTTTGGCGTTTGTGTATCAAATTCGTGACCTTTGTCATTTCCGAGGTGGGGTCTTTTCTTATAGCCCAAGGTAGGATTTCTGGAGATGTATATATAATATGTTATTCCTTTAGTTACTGATTGATTTCTCGGAATCTAAACTAAGATTTTGACGTCTAAGTATGGAGAAAATGGAAGAAGTTGGTGAAAAGACTGATCATTGTTGTCATCTTCATGTTCCTCCAATGTAGTTTCGAGGTTCTTCACCTTTCTTACTTTTCTGGTTCCTTGTTGGTAAAGTTTAGAAGTGGGTTTTGTCTCTTTTATGAGTTCTATCTGAAAGTTTCTGAATTGCCCCCAAAACACTGAGCCTTGAATGAGTAGATACATGATGGATCTGATGGGGATCTGTTCTTGTCGTTTCAGGAATCAGTCATATGTAACATAATTCAGGAAGAGATTATCAGCGATCCCTATGGAGAAATAGAGATAAGCTTTGCCTATCAGTGTAGTAATAGTTCCCAGACAGGGACCGGTCAGAATGAATGCGACGGCCCCGGGTTTAGGCTCCAAAAGACGAGCAGTTTCTCGTGTTTATCTGGAGCTGCGTTGAGCGCAAATGCCACCTTGGCCAACACAAACATATGCAATGGCTTGATCGGCACGTCGATACTTCCTTCTCTGGACTCGCCCAAATCCTTCCGGAAAGTTCCCTCTTCGCCCGCACTTTCAAAGCTGGACATGTTCTCTCCTTCTATCCATGGCGGCGGCATGCCGGGCTTTACTAGCTCCAGCCCTCCTGAAACTGGATCTTACTTGTTGAGGTCGATGAGCGCTCCTTCAAGAAACGAAGGATTTCCTAGCAGAACGGAAGTACAAGTGGCGGGTGGGGCTGCAGGTGAAGACAGGGTTCAGGCCGTGTGCTCTGAAGAAAACGGCTGGCTCTTCTGCGCTATTTACGATGGATTTAACGGAAGAGACGCTGCCGATTTCTTGGCTTGTACTTTGTACGAGTCTATCACGTTCTATGTCCATTTGCTAGACCGCCAGTTGAAGCAGAAGCTCTCGAATACACAACAAGACAATGACGAAAATTCGGATTTCTACTCGATAAACAACGCCGGTTCCTCGGGGCTCCATGGGTTGTTATCGAATAGTACAACTAATACTACAACGGACGAAATGGATTCTTCTTCCATGGATATGTTCAGACAAGGAGTACTTGATTGTCTTAATCGAGCTCTTGTTCAGGCTGAGGACGATTTTCTCCGCATGATCGAGCAAGAAATGGAGGAAAGACCTGACTTGGTTTCCATTGGATCTTGCGTATTGATCGCTCTCCTCATCGGGGAGGATTTGTACACGCTTAACCTCGGCGATAGCCGGGCTGTTCTTGCAACCGAAGGGAAGGACGAGAGGCTGAAAGCTGTTCAGCTCACCGAAGATCACACCGTCGAGAATGAAACCGAGAAGGCTAGGATTTTACGTGAACACCTCGACGATCCCAAAACGATTGTTGCCGGGAAAGTGAAAGGAAAGCTGGTAGTCACCCGGGCCCTCGGAGTTGGTTACTTGAAGAAGGTATATATACACATATACATAGCTTTATATACGAGAATCTCGAATCGTCTGAAAAGTCTCGATCTTTGTTTTCCGTATTCAGGAGAAAATGAATGATGCCCTGATGGGAATTCTCCGAGTCTGTAACCTCGTGAGTCCGCCTTACGTATCCGTGGAACCGTCGATGAGAGTTCACCGAATATCTAAGTCAGACCACTTTGTCATAGTTGCAAGCGACGGCCTGTTCGATTTTTTCAGCAACGACGAGGCAGTGAGGCTCGTCTCGTCCTACATCTCGACCCACCCGTCCGGCGACCCGGCAAAGAACCTTCTAGAACACCTCGTCGCCAAGGCAGCTGCTCGTGCCGGTACCTTTACATACACATACATGTTCAGAGGTGTTTCCATGGATGTTTCATGGTATCTCTCACTCTCACGATGTCATGTCCTAAAACTTGCAGGTTTCACCATGGAAGAACTGATGAATGTTCCTGCGGGTTGTCGGAGGAGATACCATGACGACGTGACGGTGATGGTCATCACCCTCGGCTCCGACCAACGCACCTCCAAAGCTTCCACCTTCATTTGACGATGTCTTCTTTTTGTTTTCTCGCTTCTTCCACTCTCTGTAAGTTCTGCAATGGCAACTGTAAATATCTCCCTCTTCATCACTCTGAAACAATGCACTTATATATCTATATATATGTATGGCCTATTTGGTTAATAACCGAATAATAGAACCGATCTCAACAGAATAACACATCCATAACCGAATTAAATTTGATATAAAACTCGTATCGTTATGATTCTGACAAATTTGAATCCAAATCGAATCAGACCAAATAAAAAAATAAAAGATTTATTTAGAGAAATATCTATAGATTCTTTACCTATAATAACCGTAATCAAACCGAATCTGAATCTAATTCATTTTAAAAACTGAATGGTTATACTTTTCTAAAAACAAAATAGACGAATATGAATATAAACAAATCGAATCCAAACCGAAAACCGAAATGACCATTCTTAGTTTCCAATCCCTCGAGGCTTGGCTCCGGTTTTTCCCAGGTCTTCTTTTAGAACACAACCGTTACTATATTTGGTTCCATGTTCGGCAACAATAGCGGCAGATTCAATAAAAAAACGAACTGATGATCGAAGTCACAAGTACTCGAATAATCTGACACAACTGCTTGGCATCGGGGAAAAATTCTCGAAACAAAAACCCGAAATCTGAATCATCTAATGCTCTGCTTCTTTCACAACATCGTCATCTTTGCCCTCGGCTTTCTCGTCTTTTTGCTCTTTAGCATCTTCAGAGTCATCTCTTAGCTACAAAAGAAGGAAAGAACAGAACAGAACCATGCCGGAAATCTCAGTTATGTCTCTATAACCACTGACTGTACAATAAGAATATCGAAACAGCTGAACGAGAAAACTACGGAAAAAGAACGAATAACTTACGACTAAATTGTTGAGACTAGCTGCAACATCCTCTTGCTGCTGGTGCAGAGTGTTCTTCAGTTCTTTAAATTCCTAAATTTTTTTTGTGTAATATAAACAAAAATCAGAGGATTGGGATGGGCTTTGATGAAAAATTCACATATACTTATACATATACATACATTGCGAAGCTGTTCAACCTCGAGATTCAGAGAAGTTTTCAGCTCTGTCATCTCCTACAAATGTAAAAAGGAATGGAGTTTGACAATAAACAGTTTCGGGAGTTCAGACTCTTGTATTGAAGATTGAAATCAAACTCACCTCCCGGTATACTTTAACTTGGGTGTCCAACTTACTTCTCCAACCTTGCAAGTCCTGAAATGGCAAAACCATATATATATATATATATATATATGACTACATGTATATGAGACAAGACAAATACATGTCTGAACATGATACAAACACTAAGTAGTGGTGGTGGTAAACTCATGTTGTAACCTGTTTCAGATTCTGGATCCTGTTAAGCAACTGGACCCTTGATTCATTCAGTTCCTGTTTCAGATTCTAGTCTGAGAAATCGGGAAAACATGAAACGAAATCGAAGAGGAAAAATGCAAAACAGCCACATACTGCGAGCTTCGGATTAGCAGGAGCAATGTCTTCTTTCTTCTGCAGAAGAACAGAAAAGCACCAAGAATGGACCTCATCAGTTTCTCCAACTCATCCAAAGCCATAAACCCAAAATACAGAACGAGAGAAAGCGAAGAAACGAACTCGTAAAATGATCAATCGAAAAGGGCTGTGGAATCAGCAGAAGCTTCAGCTGGTGAGTAGGCATATATATATATATATATATATAGGTGCATAAACTGAAACACAAACTCTAATACATAGAATTGAACATCTTAAGAATAGAGGGTCTCCATAATAACTCAAGAACCAATCGGCTAAACCATAGGAAACAAACGCCAAAGCCCCTCTAAAGAGATTCCCTTTAACACAGTGTCCGAGAAGAAACCTTAATGAAACTCCACATACTGACAACTGACAATTAGCTTGAAATTCATCCAAAGGCTTGAATCCACGAAATAGAAAAGCCAAACCATAAAACACAAATCTGCAAAAAGTCAGACAACAGAAACTCCATTGCTCTCCGAAGTAGGATTGTAAGAACTCTGTTGGTATTCGAAATGCCTCTTAAGTTGCATAGATATCCCCAAATCGCAAAGCGAATCCCCAAAACCAAAACTTTGCGACAGAAATAAAGAAACCCAGATTATATAACAGCCGCAAATTTCAAATTGAATCAAAAGCTCAGAGCATAGGATCAGAAGCCCAGAAATTAAAGCCACACATGCATGAAATAGCACGCGCAAAATCAAGCGAAAGAAAGAGGAGGTCGAGAGAATACTGGAGCGAGAGGAGAAGCAGCTGGGGATGATGAATCGGTGGTTTGCTCCGCCATTGATGTAAACACAGAAGTGGGAACGAGATTATGAATCGGAAACTCGATTGAACCGAGAAGATTGTAAGAATTCACGAGCAGGAGCAAGAAAGGACTGTAGTTTTTCCGAGTGGAGGGAGATCTACAAGAGATCGGTAATAAAGACAAAGACCGATGTGAACAGGATCAGAATGACGATGTTCGTTGGGAGAGCGACTCAAATTTCAAAAAGAATCGGACTTTGAAAAAAAAAATTCAAAGTTTACACCTTTATGGGTCAGAGTGGAGCGTGTTTGGGCGGGCTAGATCGAGATTCGGTTTCTCATACATTTTGAAAGTTTAATTATTTAATCCATTTTTTATGTCGCTAAATTATTCGTTTAGGTCGATGAAATATCATTAATTTTGACTATGTTTTTATTCTTTTTCGAATTTTATTTAAATTTATAATTACAAAAAATCAAAAAATTTGTTTTGGCGATTAATCATTCTAAAAAACGAATTTTCCATCTAATATTAGTTTCTCCAGATTAATTAATTTTTTTTATATAAAGGTGAAAACTAATATCATTTTTATTTTATATGTGGAATCATCAATTGGGAAAACTAATATAGAGGTGAAACAAACCAGCAAAACTCGTTTTAAAAAAATTGTTACAAGGCAAAATTCCTTAATTTTTGTAAAAGAAAAGTGGAGACCAAAAAAGAAATACTTTCTTTGCAGCAAAGTAAAAGACCAAACAGACCTTAGAAAACAGGAGCGGAAAGCAATCTCTTCCTCTCTCTCTCCCCTCGCTGTCCGAGCCAGCTGAGCTTGGTGCGAACTCGGTGGCGACTCAATGGGTCAGGAATCGTTTATCTACAGTTTCGTCGCCAGAGGCACCATGATTCTTGCGGAGTACACCGAGTTCACGGGGAATTTTCCGGCGATAGCTTCTCAGTGTCTCCAGAAGCTTCCTTCCTCCAACAACAGCAAGTTCACTTACAACTGCGATCACCATACCTTCAACTTCCTCGTTGAAGATGGCTACGGTTTGATTTTTACACTCCTGATTTTCTCCTTGCTTTCTCGGTTTCTGTTGTACTTTTCCCGGGAAACAAACCGGGTTTGGAAAGTTCTAGTTGATTGAAGTAAGATTTTGTTGGATCTAGCTCAGTGCCAACACGTTTGGAGCTCAGTGTCTGAGATTTTGAGGTTGTCGTGAGCTTAGATTTGTTTTCTAGGCTATGCAACAGCTTTCTGTTCCTGTGGGTTTGTTTGGTTTCCTAGAATCTGTAAGTAAAAAACAAGAAGGAACAGGAAGGAAACAATTTTATGGCTTTAGCTGATTTGATTTGATTTCCAGAAAACGAGTTTCTTGTAGAAACTCAGAAAAATGCAACACTTTTAATTTATGCTTCGACTGAAACAAATGGATACCGGGAAAGATTACAGATTTCTAAATAAAGCAACAAAGAACGAGGTTAATTGCAAATAGGCTTGATAGGGTGTTGTGTTCTTGGATCTCTTTGAGTGTTCCATTGGTAATGGAATGTATAAGTCGAAAAGCTTGAATCTTGAGACAGTTTTGTGTGATCTGTTGGGATGTTTCTTGTGCTGTTGGATGATGAATGCGTCCAGTATATCACTACCTGCGGTGATACCTTTATGGGAAACATGTTGGAGATGCTTTAGCCGTTCATTGTATAGGGAACTAGTCATGACTGAAACCAACATGTGTCCATCGAGATCGGCTCGAACTCATAAATTTACTTAAAACCGATCTAAGGCTGTATCTCGTGATGGGTTTTCTGCCATTTTCTGGAATGATTTGAAAAGTTTTCATTTTTGGACTTTCTTAGATAGGATATGACTGAATAGTGATATTTCCTTAATCAACTTCTCTTTGCAAATATACGGACTGCGTTAAATTTGGTAAAATCGGAATAATACTTTACTAACTTTTCCTTGCTTGCGTTATTGTTGTCTGCTTGTTGTTATCAACATTACATAGGACATAGAGATGCCCCGGTAAAATTTATGCAAAGCTATGATGAGACATCACTTGTCATGATGTTTCAAGAGTGTTCTTGCCTGTGCTCAACGTAGAAACAATGTGGTGAATTCTGTCTGGATTTCTCTTATGTAATAACCCTCGTTGAAATGATGTTTTCTTTCTTGCAGCATATTGTGTTGTGGCTAAAGATTCACTCAGCAAGCAAATTTCGCTTGCATTTCTGGAGCGCATGAAAGCTGATTTCAAGAAGAGATATGGGGGTGGAAAAGCAAGTACGGCTATCGCCAAGAGTCTGAACAAAGAGTTCGGGTATGTAGAATCGGCCTTCTTTTTGGGTAATGAGATGCAACTATCGTTGGAAACTGTGAGATTGTTACAAATTCGCAGGCCGGTTATGAAAGAGCACATGAAGTATATTATTGATCACGCCGAGGAGATTGAGAAACTGATAAAAGTAAAGGCTCAAGTTTCGGAAGTTAAAAGCATAATGTTGGAGAATATTGACAAGGTATCTGCACCATTTATGTCTCATAATTCAGTACATTGAACATATTCTGTTGAATTCTCTACTTGGTATTGGCACGTGTGTGTCTATTGATTGTTCTTCTCGTTTTGCCCTTTTACAATGACCGGATTGCGAAAAGCCCGTTGAGACATATTCCCGATGCCCCATCAAAGCATAGTAAACGAATGATGTGTGTATATTTCTTGTATATGCAACATGTCCCTGCATGGATGCTTGTGTAAATGTGCTCATGGTAATGCGCCATATGTTCATCTGTTTTCAGACAATAGACAGGGGGGAAAACCTTACAGTTCTCGCTGACAAGACCGAGAATCTACGGTCTCAGGTAAATCAAACCCGAGATAAAAACAAATTAAATGACCCTTTTTTGTCATCTTATCTCGGCTGAATCTCTGTGCTTTTTTTTCGTTCTTACAGGCTCAGGAATACAAGAAACAGGGGACACAGATGCGGCGGAAGATGTGGTACCAAAACATGAAGATAAAACTCGTAGTTCTCGGGATATTGCTGCTCCTTGTTCTCATAATCTGGCTTTCTGTCTGTCACGGGTTCGATTGCACGAATTGAAGAAACAGACAGAGAGAAATCATGTCAATGATGGAAACCAGACATCGACAAGCATGGATGCTCATGCTCAAAGATATATATATATATATATGATCACAAGAGAGACAGAGGCGGCGAGGAGAGAAACTGTACTTTTGGTCCTGTAGTGATAAGATGTTGCAGATAACAGTGTTTTGTGCTTCTCTGTGTTTTTGCATTTACAGACTAAATACAGTTAAACGAAAGCAGATTACTGAAAGAATCCAGTTCTTCCTTTGGTCAGCGTTTAATGGTAAGTTGCTTACTAACTTGCAAAGATTCAGAAGAAATTTATGCTCGACCAGCTGGTGTCCCAAGGGTTGTTCTCAGGAGGAATCAGTTTTACGCGTGCTTAGGGACTGCGATGATGCCAGGCGAGTTTGGAGGGCTTTGCTCCGAGATTCTGCTCCGAAAAGTTCCCATGATCACGTAGATTGTGTCTGGAGTCACCATTTGGTTCCCTTGGGAGTGGAGAAACCTGCTTCTTTTTCTAAACCAGAAACTACCCAAGAATCCAGCCACCATATTCTACATTATTCGAGCCAAATTCACACACTTGGTAACCAAGGGACAAGACAAGGACTCAAGAAACCCAGAACTCTCTGTCACACGGGAATCACTAAACTTAACTCGGGTGGCAGCAGCCGGCGGTCTATTTAGAGGCCATTGGGGAAATTGGACCGTTGGTCGTGTAATAAATATTGGTGTCTAGTGCAGAAGCGTGGGCTGCGACTGGCTTGGGAACGAGGCTTTCGGAAAATCCAGGTCGAGGTGGATAATCAAGCCTTATGCACAGCCATCTCCAACCCGGAGCAGCACCTCACGTCTGATGGCTCAATAATTAAAGCCATCCAATTGCTATCAGCCAAGCCATGGGATATTTCCATCAGACATGTACTTCGTGAAGCAAACTGTTGCGCTGACCACCTGGCTGCTCTGGCGCATCAGACATGTATTTACTAATGTCTTATATGCAATCTTGTTTCGTTGTTTTAGAAGATGTAGTTGGGTCGGAAAACATGCGATGAATTTTTGGATTATAAAAAAAATATATCGTAACAATTTTTAGTTTGGTTGTGCCATTACATAATGCATATATTAACATTGTCTGTATGATACAATATTTGAGCAAGTCATTGTATAGGGGACTCGATCGATTAATTTTATTTGGTGGACCGCCAAGCCTAGAAGAGGAATGCATAATTTTTTTTAGAAACATTAACGATGTTATTATAAAATATACATGAATTTTCTACAAAAAAAAAAAACTAACGAACTTAGAAGAAGAAAAATCCATTAGTTGGTGGTCCAATAATTGAGGTGACAAAATTATTTCAAGTTCATAGATTCCATTCCAGAGAATGTGATGTAATTAAGACTTACTCCGAGCCTAAAAAATTAAGTGGACAAAATACACAGTAAAATATAGATAGTATGTGCGAATTAAACCACAAACCAAAATATGATTCATATTATATAATCCAAATATGAAAAATCTTTATAAAATATAATGGCTGTTGGAAAATTTTAAAGGTAAATAATTTGTCTGATTACACACAAAGTAGTATTACTTTAAACTTTTTATATTTCTTTCCCTTTTCCTTCGTTGACGAAATTTGATGAGGGCTATGGTTAGAGCAGCTTTTCATTAACAATTGTTATTTTTTAAAATTCTACATATAGGCCAATAATTTAAATAGTGATATAGTTTTTATAAAAATATCTAAGATTTTTAAATTTAAAAATTGTATTGGGTTAGACAAGATCATTAATTAAGATCTCATATGCTCAACCAAGGTTCGAAGGAAACAAGATAACGTGATAAGTAAGGTCTAAGTGTCTTTCAATATTAGTGGAGGTGGATATATATATATATATATATATATATAATGGAAACTTTATCGTGATTGTGTTAGATTGATTTAGAATAAAGAAGAAATCGTGAAGTAAATTAAATTAGAAAATATTGAATGAAAGAAAGAGCGTTTCGACCATAAAACATGGCCATGCGGCATCAAGTTGTTGGCTATTAAATGCTCGGCAGGATGGTATGGATTATCATAAATAGTTATTATGTCGGTTCATATGGTATATGTTTACATATTATATATATATAGGGAAAAACTCCTAAAAATTTCTGAATTTGTGCGAGAAAAAAAATTTATAAACTTGTGAAGGTGTCAAATAATTCCTAAACTTATAAAAAGTATCTTAATAAATTCTAATCTTGTTAAAAAGTGTCATATTAGTCCTTCGAAAAAACTGATTACAATAATATAATTTTATATCCTACGTGGCAGGTGACATGGTATGCCAAATGTGATTTTTTGCCACGTAATCAGTACCGAGTTTTAGAAAGAAAAAAACCCCTAAAAATTCCTGAATTTGCAATTATATTGTTTCCCCTCCATCGGCCTCTTCCTCTGCTGCCACCACTATCGCTTCCTCTTCCACTACCGGGATCCCTCGGCCGGTTCCCGACATGCTTCCCCATCCTCCTCTGCCGTCGCTGCTTCCTCTTCAAAGGGCTGTGACCATGCCGAAGGTCAAGGCGAGATCTGGTGGTCTGTCGGATGGTAGGTTGGACGGTGCGATAATTGAGGAGGATGGAGCTCTAGATGACGAGGATGAGGACTCTAAATTGGAGAATCGTGAGAGGTTAGTGAGAAAATCGAGCAGTTGGGGAGGAAGTAGCAGAGATAAGAACATCGACACTGTCATCGCAACTACAACACCAGCATCAGCAACCTTACTTCGATTACTTCTTCCCCGTCGTCGAGAGCATGCCAGGAACCACGCTGGAAGAAAACCCACCTCCGCCGCCGCAGCCTCAGGCGAAACCACCGCGATTTCTCCGGTTTCTCATCACAGAATCGCCGGCGATTCTGAAAAAAACAGTTTTCTAAAATCCAGTACTGATTACGTGGCAAAAAAAATCACACTTGGCGTGTCATGTCACCTACCACGTAGGACATAAAATTATATTATTATAATCAATTTTTTCGAAGGATTAATATGACACTTTTTTAACAAGATTAGGATTTATTGAGACACTTTTTGCAAGTTTAGGAATTATTTGGCACCTTCACAAGTTTAGGAATTTTTTTTCTCGCACTTTGCAAGTTCAAGAATTTTTAGGGGTTTTTACCTATATATATATTTTAGTTCTTTTAGTTTTATCTTTATCTTTTTCGCGTACATTTTTTTTTAAAAAAAAAATATGACGTGCACAACCATATCGGCATCACATCAACGTTCCGGTTGGCACAAATGGTTGAATTTTAACGCCGTTTGATATCGTATAGAACGTTACGATACATTTCGAAAATTTGGTGAGGAACCGTGATAAATTTTGAATTTCAGCGTAATTTTATGTTAAATTTAAAATAAGTTTCCATAATTTTATATAAATTTGTGTGGTAAAATGTTATTTTAAAAATATAGATAGATGAATGAAATGAAAAGTCCATAATTATTATTTGAATAAGTTTATCTATATATGTAGTGTATAGGAAGATATTATTATTAGAATATTATCATTGATATGATTATGATTTATTCTACATATTATGCCTAGAATATTCTATTGTATTTTGCTATATATTATGATGTATTCTTCCCATTATCAATAATAAAAAAACATTTTCCGTGTGTACGTCGTAATAATTCAAATGCGACACGACAAGTGATGTCTATTTTCTGCCCTAACATTCAAAACACGTACACATAGGAATATTATATATATATATAATATATGGACAAAGAAAGAGTTATAAAATCAAGGAGAGTATTTTGAGCGAAAGAAAGAAAGAGAGAAAAAAAATGGAAGAGATGGGGATTGTGATAGTGGGAGGTGGCATTGCAGGCCTCGCGACTTCCCTTGCCCTTCACAGGTATTTTCATTTTCGTATACGCACGTATATACGTACATATATACTCTATGTGTTGACACGTGGAAAACGTACGTGCGTATACAGGAAAGGTATAAAGAGCGTAGTGTTGGAGAGGGCGGAGTCATTGAGATCGGACGGAGCAGCTCTCGGCGTTCAGACAAATGGCTGGAAAGCTCTTGAACAGCTCGGAGTCGCCCATATCCTTCGCCTTTCTTCTCTTCCCTTTTATCAGTACCCAACTCATATATATCCCACATATATATGTATGTATGTATGTATGTATGTATGTATGTATGTATGTATGTATGTATTTCTTACATGTCTTAAAAACAATTATAAACAGGATCCGAAGTGTGCTTGTTGAGAATGGGAAGCGATATGAATCGGCTGCACCTGTCTCGTATGTTTTTTTTTTAATATATATTGTATAGTATGATTTTTATTTTTTTATAAAAAAATATAAAGATTGGATCTTTGAAAAATGTAAAATGTGAAAACAGGTATGGGGAAGCGAGGTGTATTAAAAGAAATGATTTGGTCAAGGTATTGGCTGATGCTCTTCCCCAAGGAACCATCCGTTTCGGATGCCGAGTTGCCTCGGTGAAACTCGATGAAACGACGTCATTTCCCATTATCCGTGTTCAAGATGGGACGAATATCAAAGCAAAGGTAAATGATATATATTCTCTAAAATGGTATTATATCAACTAAAATGTAGAGCAATATACGGTACAAAAAAAAGCTATATATATTCGTCATGAAACTATAATATATTAGTTAGGGGGGAGAACGGTTTGACTCGTTTCGATTTATTTGATTACGTGATAATCGAATTTTGAAAATTTATAACTAAATGATTATTTGGTGTAAATCGGTTCGATTCGATTCGATCTGGTTATATCTAGTTAAAATTTTAACTAAATAAAAATTTGGTTAGATTCAGTTTATTCTGTTATGATTAATTTGGATTATATTTATTCTGTTACGATTCATTTAAATTCGATTATTTCGGGTTTCAAAAAATCACAACAAACGACTATTTAATTTTAATTGGTTTGAGTTTAAATTGGTTCGGTTCGGTTTCCAAATAACCGAACCGTTTACCGACTCCTATATCGGCCAACTTTTTTCTGAAAAGGTGTGTGTATATATATAATGTTAAAACTTTTTCTAAAATGGTGTTAGGTTTAAATGATGAAAACAAGCATGAAACTCTATATAATGTTAAAAACTCTTTTCTTAAACACGTTTTCAAGGTTTTGATTGGGTGTGACGGGGCGAATTCAGTGGTGGCCGAGTTTCTACGGCTGAACCGGACAAAAGTGTGCGCATCACGTGCGGTGAGGGGATTGACGAGCTATCCGAATGGACATGGGTTCCGACACGAGTTTGTAAGAATCAAGACGGACGATGTCTTGTGCGGAAGACTTCCCATCACCGCCCATTCCGTCTTCTGGTTCGCCCTTGTTCCAAACTGTTCCGCAGGTATGTTACCTCTCCCTCTCTCTAGTTATAGATTTCTAAATATTTGTATGGAACCGAATGACCCGAACCGAACAAATACCAAACCGAATCTAAATCATATACTGAAACATCAACCCCTAATAAAAAACTCATTTCTATCATAAAATAAAGAAAACACTTATATATGGAATATTTTGTAAAAAAAAATCTCATATTTTAATCTAGCTATCTTTTTTATTTCTTTTCATACTTGCGTAAAAAAAAAATATACTAATTAGATTATATAAATATTAATCAAAATTTATTTGAATCAACCGTTTATTCTAAAATTGTCTAATAAAAACATTATAACTGATATCATATAGACTCAAAGAATTTCAAAGATCAAGAAGCGGTCCAGAAACTGACACTCAGATCGATCAAAGAGCTCTCGGAGGAATGGAAAGAGATGGTGAAGAAATGCGATAAAAGCTCGTTGTACATGAGCAGCTTGAGATACCGAACACCATGGGAGATACTGTTCGGAAAATTCCGCACAGGGACAGTGACCGTGGCGGGAGACGCGATGCATATGATGGGGCCATTCCTCGGACAAGGAGGCTCGTCCGCACTAGAGGACGCGGTCGTGATGGCGAGATGCTTGGCCGAAAAAATTGAGAAATGTGGAGACAGTAGAAAAAGGATAGAGGAAGGGATTGACGAGTACGTGAGAGAGAGGAGGATGAGACTCTTTTCGCTTTCTACGCAGACCTATCTTACGGGTTTGTGTATCGAATCGTCATCTCGAGTCGTGAAGTTGATGTTTATGGTATTTGTTATGGTTTTGTTCTTCGATCCGATTCATCACACTCGTTATGACTGTGGTCGACTGTAACCTATTGGATCTCATCATTGTGTTCGTAATATATATATATATATATATATATATATATATATATATAATTAAATGGCGATGTGTTTAAATGATTTGAGTTTTATGTCATATAAAAAAAATAACTCAGATAACTAAGGGTAACTAATTTAGTTAATAATCAAATAATTGAACTATTTCGAATTGAATTCGATATAAAAATCGAATGGTTATGATTTTTCTAAAACCGAAAGATATGAATTAATCAAAACTAAATAAAAAATAATTTAAAAAATCGATTCCTTTTTAAATGAATATTTTTTATTAATAGAAATCAAACTCGAATGGAAATAAACCGAGATGAAATTAATAGGAAAAATTACATGGAAATTGACGAACTTGTATAAAAGTCTCCTATTAAATACGAAATTTAAAATTTCCACAATAATATAGGAACTCATATTTTTACCTACAAAAAGCCCTAATTTTTTTTTTAAAAAAAAACTCCACGTTTGACAGCTTTAAATCGTTGACAGAATCCGGCGAACAGACGCTGAGTTGGCAATCGGAGTGCCAACTCATCGTACATGTCATCTGCCACATTAGACAAATCAGATTTCCGGTTTAAACCGAATTTTTTTAAACCGGGCCAAGAATTCCGAATTTAATTAATTTTTTTTTTTTGGTTTATGGTTAGACGAAAAGTGTACCAACTTGTAAGAGCCCAATGCCACGCTAACATTTCGACCCGAAATTTTCAAGTCTAATAAACAAAGGTTGAAACCCAATCCTATAAAAAAATCCAACTCGAATCGGACTCGGACCGGCCCGCTTAATATATATAAAAAATCAGATTTTTATGTGTTTTTTAATTTAATTTTTTCCAAAAAAAATAAATCAGGCTTTCACATGGACTCGAATTTCGTCGGGCTTAGCCCAATAAATCCCGAGCCCGATTTAAATCCGACCCAAAGGCTCAGACCTATGTTTTTAAGCATGGTTCGGGTGGATTCGGATCATGATTCAGGTCCAAATTGACACCACTAAATCAGTGCCCTTTAAAAGGAAGAAATACCAAAGTCTTTGCAACGTGGGTGACAAAATGATAAAACAACCCTCCAAATTTTCTTTTCTTTTTTTTTTTAACCCAAATTTCCAAGCAGAGAGTAATGAACTGTTACAGCTTACACTCTACAGAAGACGAAGAAGAAGAAGAAGAATCTAAAGAGTGAAATTTTGCCCTCTTTGTTTTTTAGCTTACATGCTTCCTGTATCCCCCACAACCCTCTAAAAATACTAACCTTCTTAAAATGACCAGAACAGCCTCCAATCAAATTATGGGGTTGATTTTGAATAAACTGGAACAAGTGGGGTCATTCTGGAAAGAGGGACTAAGGGAGGGCTCTTCAAGAAACATAAAAGGGCAATGCATGATGAGAGGCCTCTTCAAGCAAAACCAAGAAAAAACCTGAAGATGTCACTGAGAGATATGATCCCTTCCACACGCTTACTGCCTGCCTCCACGACCACAAGCCTTCTTACACCTGAAAAATCACAACCGTAATCCATGTTGTTTGATTCCTCAACATCTTCTTTTAGAAGAGAAGAATGCCTCTTCTGAACAAAAAACATGGATAAACTTCAAAGAACATCATGTCCTTAAGTTGCACGTCAGGAAAAGAATCTTTGCAAACTTTTTCAGATCCAAATTATCAAGTAAACTGTTGTACAATCTGATTCCTAAAGACTGGGAAATTTTATACTGGAGGCTAGAAGCCACTAGCAGAACCTTAGTATATACCTGGATTTGCCAATCGTTCCATCACTTTATGCAATGAGTCGGTCCGTAAACACATTTGGCACCTTTGAGTTCTCATCTCATACGGATAGTAAGAATCTTGCCCCAACTGCAAAGCCTTTTTTTTTCCCATGCGATATACACAACAGGGAGAAAGAAGAGTTACGTAATTACCCAACTTGTAGAAAGAGAGATTCGTAGAAAAAATGTTTTACTAACTATAGATGATTCGTGAAAAATTTTAAGAACAAGCCAATGCAACTATAAAACATCATTTGCATGCAAATGCAAAGAATGAAGTGTGCCATTATCGAGTTTTCATAGGTTCATTATACCATCCAGGATGTTAGATAAGTGGATTCTTTTTCAGACAGAAGTTGAATATTGAAGTCATGAAACATGTAGCAGTTAAAATACCTACCCGTTGAATGGTGGTTTCTCCAAGATTAATATTTGCATAAACTTTGTCCTTTGCCAAGGCTGTTATATCACTGCCAAATTTGATTAAAGAAAAAAACAAATCAATCACAATGCCAATAAGCTCGAGTTTCTTATCTCTGGATGCAAAACTGAAGTCCAAACAGACTTGCCTCCGACAATAGATATCCAATAAAGAGTCATTGTCATCAACAATAGGAACAGCGCTTACTTGAGCTGCAAAAGGAAGAAGAAGAGGAAGAAAAACTTATTACTTGAGATCGTTACATTATGTTAATGGTAACATATTTCCTAATTTAGTATGCAACTCCCAGTAACCGATACATAACAAATATGCTATTATTTTAAAGTGAAGAAGGAATATTACCTTGAATAAGTAAATTTAGTGCTTGACTTAGAGAAGCATTCGGTCTCAACATTGCTAGTGGCCGTCCATTAGCTTCTCCAATCTTTGGAACCCATGTCCCCACAGGTAAAGCACAAATTGGTAGCTGTAATATGGGCAAAGAACTAGAACAATGTCGGAAGTACCTGCATATACCTGAAAGCCAGCAACAATGGTTTAGCTGAAAATTCAAGAAAAGTATCAGATCGTATTGTCTATCGGCTTAAGCCTCTGGCAAAATCGAAAGCCAAGCTAAATCTTTCACACAAGGAAAGAAGCCACTGATCCAAGTAATCATGGAGAAAAGATGTCCTACATTTGAGTACTCCCGAAAGTGTAGCGAGATGTAATAGCTGAGGAAATGAACCATCCTCTGAAGACGAGTAAAGAACCGGTACTGTTGCCACCCCATTTTGCAAAATTTTCGATACCAAATCCTTCAAAATATCATATGGTTTTACCTGCAATGCACAACAACTAGATAGCTGAGAGTGAATCCTAAATAAATCTTGTCGTGTGTACCACATTTATCGAAATATGCAAAAAGAAAATGATACAATCCAGTACACCAATATTTCGCAGATAAATAATCAGAAAACCATGCAAGAGTAAGGATAAAGCTAGAAGAATGGAAAACGAACAACACATACTCAACGTCAAAACTAAAGAAAGACAATGACAATAACATGCTTCTAAAAGATATATATTATAGCAGGCACAAATCGATTAAGCACAGATGTGGAAAATAGCTCACATAAATGAGGTTTCTCGTGACTGGCCTAGCATGCCCATCAGCCTGCCTGTTCAGATAGGCTTTTCCTTCTTTCCAGGCAGATATGGTGTGAGTCTCAAGTTCCTCTTCGGTCAAGTTTGCACCATGGTTCCCAAGCTGCATTTAGAAGATAACTAAGCAGCACATTTCTTAATGTTTAAACTATTCAAGTTTTGGAGACAATTTTTGCGCATGAAGTAAATGTGGAATAATTAAATGGAATCCCAGCCACTGTCAATCGAATAGCCATTTAGGGGCAGCATACCTCTCTAAGAATCAAAATAAAATCCAGTGCACTAAGAACTCCAACAAAGTTCCCCTTGCTGAAATCCCAAAGAGGAGCTGTAGAAATACCCTGAAAAAATAGCTCGAATCAGAAAAATTGCATATCCAACATCCCTACTAGCAAGATGGGTGTTCGCAGAAGTCTCGTAAATGAAAAAAAAAACCATATGGGACAACATACAGAAAACTTCTATAACTAACATATCTAACGGTCATTGGTATACTGAAACTAACAGCCAGTGAAAAGCAATACCGCAGTCTAGCAGAGCACTGGATTATAGCCTTTGCCTCTAGTTAATGGCATGTAATTGTGCAGAACACGTGCACAAAGAGGAAAGTAAGGCACATAAATATCACATATCAATTAAATAAGATACCTGTCCATGCAGAATGTGAAATGCCTGTTTTACCGGTAAATTAACATCCAATGCCACAACCTGCATGATACATTCACTTTAAACTTTAAGAGAGTACTGGTCACTGCAGTTCAGTTGTCATTATTTGTTTTACAAGAGGGAAGAACAGAGGGAATAGCTTAAAGATGAAAAAAGAAAAAGGGAAAGGAAAGAAGTAAAATAAGGCCTTCAAACCTTTCCTGACTCTGGAAGTAGCTCATAAACAGTATGCCTAGACAAGTACTCGGATATTCGGTGGCGGGAAACGCGCAAATCCTCCTCTGATACTCCTGTCATCATATGAATAGGCGGAACCTCAGCAACATTAACCTGGAGTGTAGTCAGTAAAAAGAAAATCATTATAGAGCATCCCTCAGAGAACGGAAAAAAAGAATATAGAATGCGAAAACACAAGCATGATTAGTGTGTCTGAACAGAATCTTTGTTGTATAAGGACAAAAGTAAGGACACAATGATGTGGAAAATCAGCTAGACATGATGCCAATATCAAACAAGCCACAATGAGCAGGGGGGGGGGGGGGGGAAGAGAATAGCTTGAACTTTCAAAGTCGTAACAATTACACTGTGCGACAAACGGATAGCTAAACCAGCAACCTAAGTCATGAAGCCAACCCACAACTCAGTCAGAACAGAAAATGGTTTAAACCACAATTTTAGGATTATACACATCAAGTTGGCAGTAATTAGATTCCTCATCCACAATAGATAAAATGGTTTAAACCATACTGTTGGCCAAGAGGGGGGGGGGAGGGGGAAGAGAATAGCTTGAACTTTCAAAGTCGTAACAATTACACTGTGCGACAAACGGATAGCTAAACCAGCAACCTAAGTCATGAAGCCAACCCACAACTCAGTCAGAACAGAAAATGGTTTAAACCACAATTTTAGGATTATACACATCAAGTTGGCAGTAATTAGATTCCTCATCCACAATAGATAAAATGGTTTAAACCATACTGTTGGCCAAGAAAAAGATGTCAAACACGACTAGACCCTTACCATCTCACGGAAGGCCTTTGGGTCCACATCCATATTGGATCCAGAAGGCATTTGTGGATGCATTGCGTAACTAGGCCCGGAAGCGAGGACAGTGTTTACTATTCCATATTCACTGTTTGTACAAGGCAGGTGTTCGTCATGTTTCCATTCTCCATCAACGAAAAACTTATACTGCAAAGCAAGCAAAGGAGCAATGACAAGAGGATAAGGCTACATATTCAATAAAAAAAAAAGCAGATCATTCCATTAGAAGCCTCTGTTCAAGACATGGCTTTGAATCTTAGTTTTGGATCATATTACAAGCCACATAAGCGGATCATATTACAAGGTCACGTAAGCACCCACAGCAAGAACTTGTTAAAAGGTAAGGTAAGCAACTCAGAACTCCAGGGATTTGCATCATTTCTTCTTGAATATCCTCACGCAAAATCAGAGGTAACTTCAGATTAATTTACAAGAATAACATACCATGACCATATTTGTCGTTTCTCTGATAGCTTACTGGAAGCTACAAGAATACTATGGCTACTGTTGTTCAATGCTCATGAAAGATATGGCTTCACAGTGACATCCAGAGACTAACCTGATGATACCCAGGCGCTAGGTTGCATATAACCTGAAACACAGTGGGACACCCTTCAACCTGAGACATGGGAACAAGCTCAGACCACCTATAGAGACAAAAAGGGTACACCCATCAATTAAACCAATCCTGGCCAGAACCATCAGGCAAACAAAGTAAAAGAAAGACAAGAAACTGGAAATAAAGACAAGATTATTTCTAAGGGACTCCCTTGAAAACATTCACCTAGTGAATGAACCAGTCAGGTATACGTTTCTTCCACCATGACGCCAGATGAATGGCACAGGTATCACCACTGAGCTAGTGGCATCACCACCAGCTTCACGCATAGAATCCATATTTGGACCAAACATTCAGCGAGGAATTGCCTCCGATCAGCTGCTAGATGAACCAACCTTCAAATATAAAAGTTGTTTCTCATGTTATTCTTCTTTGAGTGCCCTCTTGTGATTTTTGAACTTGAAGAGCAACACCATGAAACATGCACAACAAACCAATACGTTTTTCAAATACAGAAACCATAATCAAATTACAAAAACAAATTAGCCTAAAAACAATATTCTCTAAAGATCGATTATGCATTCTCAGAAACACAGAATCAGGGACATTACATCAATGAAAACTCAAAAGTAGAATCAATAATGTAGTTGGACCAAAAAAGGCGACAGGTTTCAGAAAATTTTACACTTTAAAAAAAAGTCTTTCGAATTGGGAAAAAGGGCATAATTTTTAGAACAGTATCCCACCATTCCTCTCCTAAGCCGATTCTGAAGGACAATCCACTAAGCATGAAAATCAAATTGCAAGACCGTAACTTGACAAGACCAAAACCAAAACCCAATTTCTGAGATCGAGACGTACACTTGCAGACACCAATCACAATGTTACAAAACCTCATCAAAATTACAGGATACCAGAAGTCCAAAGGACTAAAACTCGAAACCCAGAAAGACAAACAGCTAAAAATCGATTACCCACATCAGAAAATCACGCATGGAATCCCCACAGTTTGTCACGGTGAAAAATTAAAATCAGAAAACTCACCAGAATGAGTAGAGGCCAAGGAAATCCACGAATTGGAACAAAGAATTTGGAAATCTCCAAATTTTCGAGCTTCGCAGGAAAGACGAGACGAGAATCGGACAAAAAAAAAAAGAGCCCAGAAAACGGAGGAGAAGAGAAGATGGGTAGTAAGAGAAAAATGTGCAAAGTAGAAAAAAAAAAAGGAAAAATTATTTTTTAAAACAAGAGATTCATCGCAGGTGCTGAAACCGAGACCGAGACGTATGCGGAATCTAAATATCAAACCCTAAACAATAAAAAGCAGAAAGGAAAGAACAAGAGGACAGTTTACATGGAAATAGTAATATGATTAAATGTTGGGTTTAAAAATGAATTGACAAAAGGTTGGGTGAAATCGGTAAAAAGAGATAAAAAGTTGGGTCAAAAATTGAAAAAAGAGGAATATACAAATCAATCAGGATACCTAGTTACATCTGTCAAATATCATGTTTGTATGTATTGGAAAGGGAAAGGGAAAGGGAAACGAAAAAATGGCTAAAAATTGTACGCATAAAAGATAAATATAAATTAAAAAAATTGGGAAAAAGAAAAGAAGGGAAATATGTGAGGAGGAAGTAAAAATTTAAATATATATTTTATGTTTCATTATATTAAATCACATTGACAAATACATAAAATGATTTGTTTATAAGAGACAGATCTGTCTTTCAGTTACGTAGAGGGATCTTATATTTCCATATGATAGAACGAATGACACTTGTATTGGACCTACAATGCTAATCCATTCTAGTTTAGAGGTTTTATAATAAAAAAAATATTATATGAATTCGATTTTTTAGTCTCTTTTAAAATTCTATAAAAAAATTTAACAAAATATCCGAATTTAGAATTAATAAAAAAATTAAATTAATTGATTCTATAAACAAAAATTAAAAAGACTGTTGAGAATGCAAACGATTTTACAGCCTCTGTTTGGGACAGATTTAAAAAAACATCGATATGGAATTTCTAAACATTCATATTTCATATATTTTTTTGAAGAAAAAGTTTTATTAGATGAATCATAGAAATTGATATTTTAGATAGTTAACATACAATGATTGTATTTGTGTAAACATGTTAAACTTTTTTTTAATATAATCTACATTTCATAAAAATATGCAAAACAAAACCGAACAGAACAATATTCGGTACTAATTTAATACAATTTATATTGAATTTGATAAATACCGAACCGATTGACTAACAGACCAAAATGCAAATTATCCAGCCTTATATATATAATATATAATATATATAATATAAAGTTTCAGTTTTTATTTTTTATTCATATAATAAAACTGTTCCGAATCATATCGACGTACCGATTAAGATTTGCTATAATTTTAATAGAAATAAATAAATATAATTTCTAAACCGAACCTAATAAATACCGAATCGAGACACCAAACATACACCCCGATATTCGATGCTAAAATCGAACCGATTAACATTTGGTTCTAATTTGGTATAATTTTAATGGAACTTAATAAACCATTCCCAAAACAGAATACGACAAATACAACCGAAACCCAAACGTCCACCTACACATATAGATACATACATGTATAAAAGGAGCAACGAAAGAGTG